ATGTTTATGACATCAGAGTGTTTACAGAGAGGACCACAAGGAAAGTGCTCTTTCGCTTGTTAAGTGTGTCCAACTGTCTATGACGTACAGTTAAAGTGGCTTTTAGAGAATATGAGATCTGCTTAATATTCCCCACACACGGGAAAAGCTCTGCTATACCATGGGTTTAAAAATAGAAACAGGACACTGAGCAAAAAGGAGGGTTTGGTCTGGGTAAAGAAGGAGGATACAATACAAGTTGGGGATGACAATGTATATACATAATAATGTGCCCCCAGATCCACATAATATTTCCATCCATCCATCCATTCGTTTTCTTCCGCTTTATCCGTTGCCGCCGGGTCGCGGGGGCAGCAGTCTAAGCAGAGACGCCCAGACTTCCCTATCCACACACACTTCCTCCAGCTCGTCCGGGGGGACCCCAAGGCGTTCCCAGGCCAGCTGAGAGACATAGTCCCTCCAGCGTGTCCTAGGTCTTCCACGGGGCGTCCTCCGGGTGGGACGTGCCCGAAACACCTCCCCAGGGAGGCGTCTAGGAGGCATCCGGAACAGATGCCCGAGCCACCTCAACTGGTTCCTCTCGACGTGGAGAAGGAGCGGCTCTACTCCGAGCTCCTCCCGTGTGACTGAGCTCTTCACCCTATCTCTAAGGGAGCGCCCAGCCACTCTGCGGAGGAAGCTCATTTCGACCGCTTGTATCCGCGATCTCGTTCTTTCGGTCATTACCCAAAGCTCATGACCATAGGTGAGGGAGGGAACGAAGATTGACTGGTAAATATTTGGACATATTTCCAAATATGGCAAAATGGCATATCACCTAGAATGCAGATAGAATCCGTTTATACAATCATCAAATGTAGAAATGATTTCCGGAGGTTCTAAATTTTTTTGACAGTATCAAATTAGGATTAAACTACAGACTAGTCTGGCTTTGGCCAGCCGTAAACTCTGGTCAATTATTATTTCCCTACATGTACGTATGGGTCTGATCTTAGTAGCTGCGGTTACCTTGGTTGAATCCCATCCGACCATTCAGCATTCAGCGAGCGGGGGGGCAGGTGTTATAGGTAGGTACCGGTGACGTCCAGAGTTTGCGCTGAATTTGCTGGTTGTAGTTTGGCAATGGCGGCGGATGCGATAAACAAGTAATCCGTTCTGGTTCGGCTCCAAATATCAAGCAATTTTCAACATTCCTCTTGCTTCGGGCAAAATAAATGTTTAGCAAATTTTATTGCTGGCAAAGATATTGTGGCTCTACTCCCCACGGACTCCGTTAGTTTGAATTTCTCCTACGGGGGATCAATAAAGTATCTATCTATCTATCTATCTAGTTGCAAAGGAGATGGGTAAAGTAAGGCTAAATGCTATGCCTCACTTGTTTGGGTGCAGTACATTCGTCACAGTAAACTCAGATCCAATCATTTCAATCTGCAAAAGGAGTTAACCCTTCCCACCTGGTAACGGAGCTCAATGGAGAGAATCCAGACCTTAATACAAAAAGAAATTAGTACGATGGTGTGGTAAGACCAGGCTACTACAGACAGTAGCAAAGACGAAATAGTAATAACTTCATAAATGGCCTATTCAGTATTAAAGGTACTGTATACATCATAAATCATTCTGGTGATACGTGCTCGTCAAATAAGACCAGAAAGTTTTGTTCAAAAAGTGGAGAGGGCGGTTCTTTCCTAAAATTTAGGAAAACTGTCCTATATACCTTTAAGAATGCCTAAAGTGAATTTAGTGGATGTTCATAAATTATGTTTTGTTTTTTTGTTTTTTCACAGTTATCCCAGCTCTGAAAAAGCCAGGTATCAATATTTGGTGTCAGCAAGTACTTTCCAGAAAGCACTAGATAATAGCACACATTCAGCTTCAGTCTGATTGGTTATGACTAGCACTAAGGCTGGAGACCCCAAGAGACACACCACAGACCACAACAATACCTCGACGCAACAAAGGAACAAGAGTCTCTCTTCATTAATATCTAGTCTTAGCAAACCTAAAGTACAACAACAAGACCAAGGACATTCTGTGTAACAGACTCTCAAAGTCCTGCAGCAACAAAACAGACAAAATTATGACGGAGCAGGACGCTAGAGCACACTATAGCACAAGATGTGGTGAATTCAATTATGCATAAATAACATGAACCGCCACAGCTGCATTCTTTCTTTATAGAACATGTGTTATTGCCACTCTCAATAACAATACAAACACAGACAAACAAAAACTGCAAGTAATGGGATAATGTTGTCGTCTCTAATGTGCAGAGTAAGCAAACGTAAGACAAGAGATGTGGCCTTTTTCTCTGTTCCTCACAAGCCACTCATGCACACACTATACTACAATACTTACTCCCATGCAACAGTAGCTCAGTTGGTCGAGCATTGGCCTTTGAGCCAGAGGGTCGTGGGTTCGAGGCCGACTTTCACCATCGACTCCCACTGACTGCTGTCGTTGTGTCCTTGGCAAGACACTTAACCTCTGGGAACACCAGCCACAGTGGGGCGGCTGCAGCTGTAAAGTGCCAAACTGCCGTTGTGTCCTTAGGCAAGACACTTCACCCCCATTGCCTAGAATGAGTCTGGTGTGTGAGAATGGTTGGTGGTGGTCGGAGGGGCCGATGGCACATACTGGTTGCCTCGCTTCTGTCAGAGTGCCCCAGGGCAGCTGTGGCTACAGTAGTAGTTTATCACCACCGTGTATGGAGTGAAAGAATAATGACATGTAAAGCGTCTTTATCTTTATAAAACTGATCCATTATTATTATTATGGCATTAACATGCCTGCAGTAATCGTCCTGACAGATCCACTCAATCCACTTCATTTATAGCACATATTATAAAACACATTTCCAAAGTGCTGCACAGATAAAAGTAACAAATGATGATCCATTTGTGTAAGCTCAACTAACAACAAAAGTAGGTTGGATTCTTAGTGAATGTTTTTTTGCGTGAACTTCTGTTATTTGATTTAAAACCAGAGAGGACCACTGCTGAACTTGATTTCCTATGGCTCAAAGTGTCTGTTATGTAATTACTCATTATAATGATATAACACACGTCGCCTGCATGTGAGCGAGCTAAGCCTTGACAACAAAGACAAGATCCCAACAAAGATCCCACTGCTTCTGATTGGTTTTCCAAGCCGAAATGAAGAGCCAAATGTAGAGGACAAATTGACATTCAAGAGAGTATAAGTATATAATAAGATTCTCAAAACTACTACATATAATATAAAACAGAGATGATACACATTTTTCCCAAGCTCCCCATGTTTGAACAAGAGACTTTTTCAGATACCCACTGTCCAAATTGAGGGTTTCTACATAAAGGTTTCATATAGGTAACAACAAACATATTTCTTTCAGATAAATAGAAAATGTTGGTAAATAGTTGAAGTATTTCTGAAGTTGTACAATTCATGTTTTGTTGATGTGACAAAGCTCTCCGGCCATATCTTGAGTCCATGTTGGAAACCACTGATCTTAAATACAGTACATAAAAATGGGAAAGGGGTTGTTTTGAGAATTCATTAGATCTTCCTTCCTGCAGCTGGCGTTTTCAAAGTTTCTAGGTCAGAGACAAGAGTGAAAATAATGTGTTTATCACCATTTCCTTGCAGCTCAAGCTACATCCAACATGGTAGTTAGTGTTGTAGTCGCGTGTGGTTTGAATCCCATTGTACTATAATCGGCTTAATCCTTTTTGCACAGGAAAAAGACCTTATTATGATGATTATTTGCAGGCAATTGTCATTATTATACTGCAACATGAATGGAGGCAAGCTTGTTTTTGGGCTTTCCAATTCTAACCTAATTACAGCTTTATTCCTCTCCCTCTAATATATATCACAATTTCATATATGATAGACACTAATAATGATGTAATTCACTTAGTCTACGTCTCTTGCTAGATAATTATTTGCTGGAGTTACCATAAGTTATTTTTGCACTAAATTGTTTTATGGAGCGATACCACATACAGTGTTGGGCACGACAGAAAATAGATACTTGAATTCATAGAATACTGTATAATATAATAATAAAATTATCACTTAAATCATGTTAAATCATTATAACAGATCTACATGGTCCTTGCAAACAGGATAGCCTTTTACAACGTAACAAGTGCTGACTTTGATCTGTCTCATGGGACTTATTCACTTGAACTATTTCACACTGGAAGAATTACTTTGGAGATGGTGCTTTTGTTCTGTCATCTTTAATCAGAGATACTCAGACTGAGCAACAAACAGGTGAAAATATGTTATTTTGCATTGATTCTGAGGTTATTGAATGCTTTCCAATTGAGACATATTTACTGGCTCTGGCACAGACTTATTTATCACACAATTGATTATGGAGGTGCTGAAGATGGACAGATGTCTCTAACAAGACTGCAGTGACCTGAGAGGAGTGGAATTAGTGTGCTTCATTGTGGAATATGAATCAGCATTCAAGCATCAGTCATTGCAGCAGAGGTATAGAAATACAAATGATTGAAGAACAGGCTGACAAGCAAGCCCCTTTACAATAATAAACATGATGTCTTCTCATGCTGACAAAACTGCAGCTTATGGTTGGTCATATCACAATATTTTACCCATGTAACATATATAGTCATTGATGAATTGCTAACACACACTTCGTTTACATGGACAAACATGGATTTTTCATTAAATTATGAGCAGCTCAGCACTCAGGAGTAGACTAGATGAAAAGTGTATGACATCATAGGAAATAATTCACATAGATTAAGTTGTATATGCGTCCTGCCAATGTAAGCCTTTAGAAACAGACCACATAGTGTTTTATAATTCATTCAGCACAATGTATTTCAACGCAGAGCAAAGCAGATACTGAGCACCTGTCCTGCACCTATAGGGCCAGACGTCCTGATTTAGCGACGCAACACCTTATGCAGTCAAAGGGTCCGTGTCATGACGAAAACAGTGTCTGCAAAAGCCAAAGGAGTAGACACCTCTCAACATTGGCCTCACAAGTCAGTCACCCGTTGAAGGACACGCTCGTCATGACATTGAGGGCATGCACTGACCTGTATCGTGCAGGTGTACTCCGAGTCGTCCAGCAGCCTCACGGTGCAATTGTATTCACGGTCCAAGCTCCTGATGCTGCTGCTCATGAGACGGCTCAGCATCTTCTCGCCCCTGCACTCGTCAGATAACACCAGAGAGCAGTGGTCTTTGTCTCAGCCACTCGCACCTTAGCGAAGTCCCTCGTCTGTGGTCCAACACCTGGCCAGGGGCAGTGGAGGGAATACGGGGCTGTTGCGGTGGCTCGTCTCCATTTGACGCAGTCGCTTATAGATCACACACAATTTCAGTTGGATAATGGAGAGGAGCTTTCACTTGTGTGGTCCAGTTTGAGTGTGTTTTTGCCCCGCCACACCTTCCCGCTCTTCTGCCAGTGCCAATGCCGCTCTCTGGACGTTCCTCAAGCAGAGCTCAATGACTGAGATGTTGCGTTCAGAGACTGTAGGATTTTGCAATGTCAATCTGTTTTGTGTTACTTTTCTGGTTTCGGCACACATTTCACAACATGTACTGCGCCCTGAAAGCTATTTGACATATACATCAGTTTGAGTCACTATATTTTGATCATGTGGTTTTGATTGATCCTGTGAATTCTTAATGTTGTAGGACATAGAAATCTTGGGTATTATTTTCCGATATATACCTGAAGGCATCGCAAAATTGCTCTCATCCAAGTCGAGCCAACTGGCCACTTCAGTGTTTCGTAATAAGTCTTGAAGGAGCTGGTGATGGTGAGTATAGTATAGTATATAGTAGTACCATTCATACTCCCATGGTATGTGTAAGGACAAATTATAGTACTTTTAATTTGATTTAACTGTTGCTAACCCGAAAGAAGCCGTAAAATATGCTGATTGACAGTAACAACTTGACAATTTGAATGAGCTTATTTAGTTAACTAACTTACATATCTTGGGGGAAAAGTGCTCGGAAAGCTATGACTTCTGTTACCATGGAAACCAGCAATGTTCACAGTCAGAACATGTAGAAATGGCATGTGTTTACCCGGAATTACGTGGGAAAGGTTGGCGTGTTGTTTGGACCGGTGTCGGCTTTACAATGAAGACAGGAACATATCAAAACAATAGGGTCAAAACAAACTTCCGACTTTCAAAATAAGTCTTCTAAAGTCACGTGTAGTGCACTCAAGACCAAGCCTGGTACCATGCTACATAGAAAGACACAGTTCTAGGATAGAAACTAAAATTAGATAACTCAATAATAATAATAATGATGATGAGGATGATAATAATAATTAAATATAATAATCATAATAATAATTTAAAAACACATGCTGTTCCAGTGTCAACAGTACTTCTTTGGTAGCCAGCTGTGTACTCTCATTGACAATACATCTATGTTCAAAATACACAAAATGCACTGAAGTCGTCATCCACTGACAGCGGGACAGGCAGTGACGAGGGGGCCACCTTGTGGAAATCATATTGTGACAGTAAGCCCCGCCAAGAGAACCCTTTGGTTAGCCTCGTTAATTCCGAGATGAGAAAAGTCATTCGGTAGAAGAACCGGTGCAGAACAAGAAACCAAGACCAATGTTGTGCCAAAACCGAGCAACCCCTGTGTCACCGAAAAAGGTTGCAGAACCATGGCACGAAGTTCAGGTTGGATCCGCCTGTAACTTCGTAGATAAAGGTCAATGTGGTGTTGGGTAAGTCCTATAAACATTCAAATGTATCTGTTGGTGGTCTCGTTTTAAGAGGAACACAAAGACAACTCCGACTTCTATGACACGGCTGCAGTTATGAAAACTGTTGTCCCTCTATGACTAATGTGTAGAGATGTATAACCTTCTTCCCCTGACTGAGTAATGTACTCAACGAATGGTTTTAGTGGTCGCCAAATGATCACTGTGATTGGTCAGAGTGTTCTCGCGGCCTTTGACACAGCTCAAGGTGTCTTGAATTGAACTATTTGAATTATTGGACTTGTATTAGCCTGTCTGGAAAAGCCACAATGTATCTTTATTCTGCAAACTGCTACTAATCAACTAAACCAGTGTCTCCCAAAGTGGGGTCCGCGGTCCGAGGGTACTGCAGGGGGGCCGCGGGAGGTCAAAAAATAAAATAAAAAAAATAATATAATTATTTAATGTTAAATTTATAATGTTTTGTTTGTAATATTAAAATATTTGTGTTCATTATTTGACTTGAATAATCCACTGTAATCATTTTTGTATTACAATGTTTGTAGCAGAGGCTATTTCCCCAAAATAAAATAACCAGAAGAGCCTATTCTTAATGTTGTCTTCTTGGTTATTATTTTGGGGGGCCACGCAGACCCGTCAGATTTTTAAGGGGGCCTCGGTGTTACTGAGTTTGGGAATGGCTGAACTAAACCATGCATTTCGAGAGATGATCTAGCATGTTATTGTTTTAAAATATTGTCTTGTTTAACGGAGGATATTCCAATGTAAGCTAGTTCTTTAACTGCAAATGGAAATGTTGATAAAATAAGTTGCAGCCTGATCTAGTGAAATCCCTGGGACAACAAAGGTCTATAGTGGCATACAAATCAGGCTACGATACTATTTAGCATCCATCAATTCCTAATAATCTACCAACATTTACTCAACTAAAAAAGCGAGGTACGACCATAGACTGATAATATTACCTAGCCTGCGAGTAAATAGAGTTTGATTAATGTGACATAAAAAGAGATCCCGTCTGCCGTGACATTGTTTCGCAATGCCGTGACCCGGATTCGAACCGGGGTTGCTGCGGCCACAACGCAGAGTACTAACCACTATACGATCACGGCGAGCTACGACGGGACATGTTCAGAGCGAGGCGGAAATCAATGTCTTTCCTAGAAAAAAAGACAGGAGTGACTGATGTCATACTTTTGTTTAGAAATATTGTAGTTTCTTCAATTATGTTATTATAATCCATTTTAGCAGGTTGAACAGTCGTTGTAAATATATTTTGTGCAGCTTTGTGCTTAAGAGCAGAGCGATCAGCGTGTATCATTTTCAGTGATGGTCTGACCTCTAGTGGAGAAACGTAAGCAACACAGGTAAAGCTGAACAACATGTGATTGGATAACAGCTGTACACGTATTTTCGTCAGCATGTTACCAAACGCAGCTTCATGCGGTTAGGAAAACTGATCCACGCTCAAACAACGAGGCACGATTGTAAAAGGTAATAGTAAATGCTATTCAGGGTGTTGTTCCTCATCTGAAAACACCATGTGCAGTCCTTCATGGATGCACTCGTTAGTAAAGAGTAATTACGCCGTGGATGCATTGCAATTTGTATTTTTTCGACGAGATACCGTGCAGTGTTTTATGGTCCTTCGAGCTATTACAGTATGCCTCCCACTGTTCCAGAAACGCTAACACTGCTACTCCTTTCTGCAGGACAAATAAGATGTCACATTCTTGTATTCACTGGTTCCGAAAGGGGCTCAGGCTACGCGACAACCCGGCTCTGATCGCTGCCTTGAGGGACTGCAAAGAGCTATACCCTGTGTTTGTGCTGGACCCTCTCATTCACAACAAAACAATTGGTCTGAACCGCTGGAGGTTTCTAATTGGATCCCTCATTGACTTAGACTGCAGTCTTAAAAAACTAAACTCAAGGTACAACCATAGTAAACAATTATTTATAGAAATCGTGAGTTCTAAATCTGTTTTGTTTGTTTTTGCTCTAGACTGTTTGTTGTTAGGGGCAAACCTGAGGATGCGTTGCCCCCACTCTTTAAGAAATGGAAAGTAACAAAGTTGACATACGAGTATGACACTGAGCCTTACAGTTTAAGGCGGGACGAGACTGTCACCAAATTGGCAAAGGAGCATAATGTTGAAGTTGTTTATAAAGTCTCACACACCCTCTTTGATATCAACAGGTTTGTTTTAGATGTGCTTGTTTTTGTTATTGTCAATTAAACCAGTCAACATTTAACTGTGATCTTTACAGAATAATACAGTCAAACGATGGGAAGCCTCCTCTTACCTATAATCGAATGCAGGCCATTGTAAGCAGCCTTAGTCCACCCAAAAAGCCAATTCCTGCTCCTACAGTGGATGATATGAAAAGTACAGCAACACTTACTTATCTTCCAAAACTACATGTAAACTTAACATGGATTTTCTTCTATCATAGATACAAGTAGCCCATTATCAAAAGATGATGAGGAAAAGTATGGCATTCCTACATTAGATGAGCTGGGTCATGACATCACATCCATCTCTGAGGAGCTGTTTCCAGGAGGAGAAGAAGAGGCTTTGAGGAGGCTCGATGAACACATGAAAAAAACTGTAATACACATATATTTTACATGCTGCAACAGTGTACGCAATGTATGCAATGTGTTCATACATATTTTCTCCTTTCTTTATATTTAGCAATGGGTGTGTAACTTTGAAAAACCCCAGACCTCTCCAAACTCTCTGATGCCGAGCACCACTGTCCTCAGTCCGTATGTTGCATTTGGCTGCTTGTCTGCTCGCACTTTCTGGTGGAGGTTGACAGAAGTCTATAAAGGGGTACGTTCCATTTAAAGAGGCCCACTGTATTTATAGTTAAACATGTTTTATTCTCCTTCTTTATGCTATGTGCAGAAGAAGCACTCCTCTCCTCCGGTGTCTCTTCATGGACAGCTGCTTTGGAGGGAGTTCTTCTACACAGCTAGTTTAGGCATCCCCAACTTCAACCAGATGAAAGACAACACTGTATGTACACAAGTGGACTGGGACACTAATCCTCAATTCCTGAAGGCCTGGCGAGAGGTATCTCCAAATCAAATTAGGCATAGTGCTTGTGATTTAAAAAAACAAAAAGTGCAAATCTTATGCATCTTGTTTCCAAAGGGTCAAACTGGTTTTCCTTTCATTGATGCCATTATGACTCAGTTGCGGACCGAGGGATGGATTCACCACTTGGCCAGACATGCGGTTGCCTGCTTTCTCACCCGAGGGGACCTTTGGATCAGCTGGGAGGAAGGACAAAAGGTGCAAAACAACATATTTTTCTAATCAGAAAGTGGGAAACGGCTCATGGTCAATTTGCACAGGTTTTTGAAGAGCTTTTGTTAGACGGAGACTGGGCTTTGAATGCTGGGAACTGGCAGTGGCTTTCAGCAAGTGCCTTCTTCCATCAGTTTTTCAGAGTTTATTCCCCTGTGGCATTTGGGAAAAAAAACAGACAAAAATGGAGACTATATCAAGTACGAATTGTCCAAATGTGTGCTCATTTGATTAATTCATACTTTATTTTCATTACTTAATTTGAATTTTTCAGGAAGTATCTGCCTTTACTGAAAAAGTTTCCACCTCAGTACATCTATGAGCCATGGAAAGCTCCTAGCAGTGTCCAGAAGGCAGCAGGATGCATTATTGGCAAAGATTATCCAAAGCCTATTGTAGAACATGAAGTCGTCCGTAAGAAAAACATTCAGAGGATGAAATTAGCCTACGCAAAGAGATCAGAAGATAAGCCCGAGACACCCAGCAAAAAACAAGGTATCGTAAAAGTAATTTTTACAACCGATATATGTACATATATATACATTTATTCTGTCTTCCGCAGGTGTGAAGCGCAAATATCCATCTGTTGTGGACATGCTGTGCAAAAAAGCAAAGCTGAAGTAACCACATATCATTATGCACGTTTTAATATAAGAAGTCTTCAAATATGTTCACATTATTTTCCACAAGAATATTTTCAGTGGAGTGTTTCTCTTTTATATTGTTTTTTATAGAGCTGTAATTAACTATTTTGATAATTGATAAATCTGTTACTTGATATAATAGTCAAATTAAGCAGCTCATCTTATCTTGATATTTTTTTAGACTACAAAATGCCAATGTATACGGAATTTTGATAGTTATTCATTTAGAAGGGTAGATAACTCAGGGGTAGGCAGTAAGGACTGCACAGAAGGTGTTGATTTGGTGTTAAGAATGTTACTGTCTTGGGAGTGTCGGCCAGAACACTACTGAGCCACGCTGATATGCAGAGGGGAGACTGACGAGACGTGTTTATGAGTCTTTGTTTTGAACATTCAGAGGTTTGGGTGCGTGCCTGTCTGTATGTGTGGTCTCTGCAAAATATACAGAAATAAAGACTAAATTACAAAGTGCTCTTCTCCATACAAACACAATATAACAGGGTTATATAAATATAAATTTATGAAGATAATAGGCACTTTATCACATCAGTTTGGCACATGAACATTCCACATTGCACAGAATAGCTAGTTTAGCTTTATGCAGTTACACAGGCAGTGTGGCCACAAATATAAAAGGCTCTTGAATTAACTCAAACACTTATACACGTTTACAACAATCAGGAGTTCATAGGAACTAACTTTTGTCATGAACGCACACTTTGGACCACAACAAAAGACTGCATCTGACACTTGCAGCAAGGAAAGGGTGTTTTCACCTTATCACCGTCTTTCTCAGGTAAAAGGTAGGGGCGCCCTCCAATGGACACTTATGGAACAACGTGTAAACAAACGTAGCATCATGAGTAGCATACAATGATTACTTTTTTACAACAATTGAAGCGGCCAAATCCTCTGTACAAGGTCTTCTGGATGTAATCTGATGTTTTTGAGTTGAAACAAAATAACTGCTGACTGACTTGACCTAACGCGGTATTTAGATTTACTCTCCACTAGATGTCACTGTGACACAGACGAGTTATGTTCCATCCTGGCAAATTTAGGAAAATGTAACATTAACCTGCTTTTGTGTGCGCGCTACTGTGCGTGCTGTTGTGTGAGTGAGTGTGTGAGGGCGCGTGTGTGAGGGCGCGCGTGTGAGGGCGCGCGTGCGTGTGGTCTCCCAGCTGTCTGCCTTCTCTTGTTTCTGCTTCTTTGGAACAGACTCTGTTGTGAATATCTACAATATGACGTCACAGTGTCATCCGGCGCGTAAACGCAGGCCTATAAAGTGCATCAGATGTCACGCTGTTGCTGTGTTCATTCATGTTTCTGACTCTTTCAATCTCATTCTCATTACTTTAGTTCACAGGTTAGAATTTTACATTTTACAAATGCTCTCCACATTGCTTTATTTGTGCTCTAAGTCAAGGTAATCGTTTATTGTGTTTTTTGTAAATAGTCTAGTGTCCAACTGTCCATAATATGGCAATAATATATTTTAGAAAAGGATGTTGTGGAGTGAGAACAGCATGTTCGGTTGCAGCTGAGGTGTCTTCATATGAATACTACAGTATGTTCATATAGGATCTTTCCTTCTTAATGCCAGTCAGCTGAAAGGTCAATGTTTATTAGATCAAGAAGATGTGCAATGAATACCACAATGAAATGAAAGAAGAACCAGAAAATGTGTTGGTTAATCTCTGCATTGCATGGCTGTTTTGGATATATTTACTATTTATTGTACAAAAATCATGAGACGATATTTAACCAAACACAGATTTGGTCATTGCTGTGTCGTTCTTCAACAAATTTCCCCTTAAGTCACGTCACAGCATGAAGCAACAATCAGCAATACTACTTGGTAACTAAACCGATTGTTATTTGATATGATCATCTTTTTTATAATGCTTTTTTTGGTATTTGTTGCTACAATGTGTAATTGTAGTTTGTAAGTTTGTAAGCTATGGAGTGCCCCTCTCCAAAGATGTGCAGGCTTAGAGGATCTACTGTGTAACACTACTGGACCCATAGTCGTGTTTCCACACTCTGTAATGCTTTGATCAGTCTGATGTCCCACTCCTTGGCCAGGAAATGAAGTCCATGATGTAAGTCCTCCTCCACTACATTTACACTTTGATTTTTGTTTTTGAGTATGAACAATATTTGTTATTTTGTTTGTTTGCCTGTGTCCAGATAAATGTCCATGGCTCTCAGGCTCTCACCAACGTCTGCCTATATAAGGCTGCAGTATTTCCACAGCTTTTCCTCTGGGGCGCACCAACATAATTGTCTCCCTCATGACAATGTTTATAACACAGACCATGTTGTACCGACCACAAGTTAATGTTTTTTATTTGTTTATTCACAATCAATTTATGATGCAACATTGTATTTTTATATTTGAAGTTGCTGTTGATTTTCATTCATTAATTTGACAGATTTCTTGAAACATTCATGTTAGTCATACTATTGCATCTCTTTTGCATGTTTAACTGTCTTTTTAGTTATGTTTTTCATCACAGACCTACAGCATATTGACACATAAAATAATGGCCCAATGGTAACTTTTGGAAAGTATGATGTGCTCTTGTGCCTATTTGCAGGCCAACTATAAATAGTGCAACAGCCTACGCATGCTCATGTTTGATTGGAAATTTCATTGCCTAAAGTCAGAGCTCTGGGGTATCTGTCAAAGGAGGGAAGAAAATTTGGGATGGTAAGTACATATGATTGGATTTACAATGCTGTCTCATTGAGATAATTATGTTCTATAAACTTGAAAGTCAGTTGTGAAAGCCAGTGTCTAAGATATAACTCATTATTGAAAATGTGCGCGCTCCAAATAATGACAGATCTTTTTTAGGTATATTGTTTTGGAACTACTTTTTTTTAAACGTTTGGATTTTGTGGACTTAATCTGATGGGTTCACGGAGGACAGTCAATCATTCCCTGACGGGCAGTGGGAGACCCCTAAACGGGTCAGACGTGAGTGGAAACAGTCGGCTCCCTGGATGCAGCTATTTATCCAACGTGAGGCCGGAAAACAGGTAAAGTCCAATCACAACAAAGTATCAAACATCATCCACTTTCCACCACAAAACAAACTCGAGTCAAACCTATTATTTGCCACGTTGCCAGCATATCTTATTTCTTTGTTTGTTACCATGGCCACAGAAGTTTAAATACAGTGTTTATAAGGAACAGCATGTCAGTAATGCAGTGTGAGCCCACTTCAGGCCAGACCGATATATCCAGTGTTTGTGTCAGGATAATTAATTTTCTCTTCAATGTTACCACTTAGCACACATACATAACCATCTTCGTGCAATGTTTAGGCCTATCATTTTACAACCCACAAAGTCATTATTTTGTATTTGCTTAATTTTAATGGATAGGTCTGACTTAGATAAGCGTTGCTGTAACTGTTTATAATGTGTGTGTGATGATAAGAGTTACTGTCTCGTGTTGTTTTCTTAAGCACAGAAAACATTTAGTGAAGCAATGTCCCTTTAATGTGCAGTGACCCAATACTGTTGCACCAGACATGGATTAAATGCACACCACAAATCAGAGCTAACTTAATGTGCGGATTAAATGCATGATCACAGCTATCCTTTCTCATTGCTTCAATCTATTTACACTGTTTATTAAGATAAAAAACAATATTTGATAAAGTAGAGATGTGCCTTATTTTCTATTTTCTTTTCATCTGTGGTTGAAAATAGTATATTGCATCTGTTACGTGAGAACTAAAAACTTGACATGTTCTTCATCATACTGTACATGTCATGATTGAATCATGTTAACACAAAATGTCTCTCCTTCCCTTGTTTATGTTAGGAGCACTCTGTGTAGTGTCATCGCACAGTTAACAGAAGAGACTCAGCCTTTCTTTGAAGTAACTCTGAAGTCTAAAGCCGTGTCGCAGAGCTCCAGTGCCAAGTTCACCTGTGCTGTTACCGGTAAGCAGTGTTTACAAAGAGAAATCCCAGAATCTATGATTGATACTTCCTCAAGTTTATCTCCTACAGTAATGTTGTTTGTTTTCTGCAGGGCACCCTACACCTCAAGTCACTTGGTATAAGGATGACATTCAGTTAGACAGATACTGTGGTTTACCAAAATATGAAATATTCCGCAATGGTCCGAATCATTCCCTGCACATTTACCAGTAAGTGAATCTCAACACAACAAACATGAATATATATTATATGTTTATTAAACATTCTTTCTGTCAATTCTTTCAGTTGTACTGAGGAGGATGCAGCAATATATCAGGCCTCTGCCACCAACACTAAAGGAATTGTGTCCTGCTCCGGAGTTCTTGAAGTTGGAGAGATGAATGAGTTTAAGATCCACCAGCGATACTTTTCCAAACTTAAACAAAAGGCTGAAAACAAACGAAAGGAGGCGGAGGAAAAGGAAAATCACGAACCAACTCGGACCATCAGTCCTGACCGAACTCAGCGGAAGCGGCGCTCCACTGTGGGGGGCTACATCAGTGCCCCCAGCTCCACAGAGGACGACACAAGTGACGAGAGTCAGCAGGAGGCTGCAGCAGGGATCAGTGAGGTCAGCAGCAGAGTACAGGAGAGCAGTGTGGAAGCCTTCACATACACTAATGGAACTGTGGAGTCCATAGAGCCACGTTTATCTACAGATCGGGACACCAAAGAGGACACTCCTTCAATTGGAACACACGACTCTGCTCAGAAGGTGGTTACTGGCGTGCCGCAAACCAAAACCCCTCTTATAAAGAAATCTAAGATCAATTCAGCTAAGGCTAGTTCTGAAGAGAAAAAGGTTTGTGAGAAAGAAGGGAATATCTCTATGGCTGGTTTAGAGACACCTGAATCTCTAATAAAGTCAAGAAACTGTATGAATTCCATGGAAGTAGAAAGTAACACTGTGTCAACCTCTTTGAAATCTTTGAAAAGACGAGTGACAAGTATTTGTGGCAAACAAGGAATAAATATGGAAAAGGGTGATTGTAAGGCATCAAAAGTAAATGTAAAAGTACAGAATGGACATGCATCAAATAAATGTTCACCTGTGATACCACCAAGAACTTCAAAACTACAATCGCCTCAACTAACAATAAAAAAGGAAACAAGTGCCATACCTAAGGTCATAGACAGAGATAAGAAGGCCAGGTGTTTGTCCCCTGATATGACTTCCCCACCAGACACATCATGTGACACCAGCACTGCTTCGCCTCAGCCTCCATGTCAACAGGTCAGACAGGAGGCACCCCAAAAGGGAACAAGACCTGGCCAAAAAAGTGGGGGTGTGCCTGTTTCAGTGCAAGGGATGGAGGTGAGCCAGACTGTTTCTCATGAGCTCATAAGTGTGTTACCAACACTGACCTCATCACTAACCCATGCATTTGCTTCTATACTTAGACCTAAAGTATTTGCTGGCTGTTGTGGGTGATGAGAATGAAATGACACATTTGTTGACAGTGATAGGCATTTCACATATTCCTTTTTTCTGTGATTAAACAAAGATGAATATTTTTACAAACTGACATAAAGCCTTTGTTAAGCTCACTCTTCAACAACTCTAAAACTTGAGAGAAACCTAGGTCAAATGTCAATGTCACCTCCATTGAAACTAAAACAACTAATTTGATCTACTTTGATCTAACATGCTGTACCTCGGCCAGCGGGTTATGTCTTCATCTGGGTTTGTTTATTAGTAAGAAACATGACTCAATACGTTTATTTTTGCTGAATGAAAATCTCAGAAATTAGAAACATTTTTGGGGGTGATTAGGATCCTTTTTTTTTGGCAGAGGTCTGTGTTCTATCAGCGCTGTTCTTCATGTAAAGGCTGGTTCTAATTATGAATATGAACCAGCCGTATTGAGAGATATGTAAGTAAACTTACAGTTAATGTGATCATAGGAAAAGGCCACTGTTATTTGGACTTCATTTATAATACTGCACAGTAGATTGCATTGCTACTGTTTCTGAGAAGCTGTTTTGTTCATCCATGGTAACATACTTAAGGATTAGGCAGCATGTATTTACAGTCAGGCCCTAACAGCATGCTTTGTCTTCTTTACAAGGCGACACAGCCCCATGCAGAGTCGCAGAGGAATGAGGCACCTGTTGACCTTGAGCTACAGCCCAAGCTCCAAGCAGCAGTGGCACCAGAAACGACTACATGTAAAAAGACCGAACGGGATCGGCGTGGCACGTCTTTGCACCACGGCTTCCACAAGTCCATGGACAACATGACCCAGGACAAACAGGGTCATTTGATGGGATCAAACAAAATCTCCTTGGGCCTTTCACCAAGCATGCAGAAGCTGCCATTCAAAGGTCCTCGCACTGCTGAGAACAAGTCCAAGTGTAATGTTTCTCCTACCGCACAGCAAGGCCAAACTAAAACACCCATATCAACTGTTGGGGAGGAAGAAATACAACATGAACAGATAAAAACTTCAGCAACTGCAGCAACTTCAACAGGAGTATTACAGTTGAATGGCAGAACTCAACATGATGAGAGTAGATTTTTTCTTGAAGAAAAAAATGAGGAAATTGCCAAAACTATTGAAGAAATGTCTGGGGATTTAAAGAAAGAAGAGAAACATAATAGTTCAGACGAATGTGTTCAAGTGCCATTAGAAGGACATTGCTCATTGCAACCAGAAGAACATACACAGGTTATAAATAAATCAGATATGTTGTTGAAATCAGAGCAAAAAGACCTAAAGAAATGTCCATCACCCATTCCAAACATAATATCGATTGCTGAACTCCTGAGGTCACAAATCAATGCTCTTGAGGAATCTGTTTCCCCACAAACTGCTGCAACAAACAATTCTACTGGAAAGGGCGTGGAGGGTGAAAGTAACTGCATCACAACAAACAAAGACCCGCTCACTGATCAGGGCCCACCCCAAAGCATTAAAGAGACACTACTCCTCATTTACAATGAGTTGATCAAAACTAGGGATCTCTTTGTGGATGAAACTCCTGTTTTGTCAAACTGTACACAGCCCCTCAATGCTGCAGAAATCCCTTCTTTGATTGCACCAAAGGTGACAATATTCAGTGAGATGAATGACAAAGCAACCACCGGCCTGTCTGAAAGAGCAAGTGAAAATAATGGATACCCTCTGGAAGAGCCTGAAGAATCTATGGACACTGATGCACAAAGACTGACACAGGGAAAACACTGCCCGAGTCTTTTTGTGGAGGAGACACAGACTGTGACCAACGAGACGGCTAAAACAAATCTAGAATGCTTCCCAGTTGTAGAGGTTAGAGAAACGTTTAGTGCACCGCTCATCTCTAAAACAGAAGAACTTACATCAAACATGAGTCATTTGGAGATTGTGCAAGAGCTTCCTGCTCCAAGTGCTTTGGAAAGTGTAGATACTAATATTACAATTGAAGACGTTGAAACAGTTATGCTTTCTCATCTTATTCCTGAGACTTGTCCTGGATTAGAGAAAAGATCTGATTCTATTCCTGCAGCAACGCCGCAAGAGCTTGCATCTGGTGCCAGGCGTAAAGTCCTTTCACATAAAAACAAACTGGAGGAACCTCTTCCCATCAACAATAGCTCAAATCCTATTGCAGTGAGTGTTCCTACATCCCCACAACCTTCTGGACACTCAGTTCTGCTTCTGCCTAATGTAGAAGCAGCATCACCCAAGATAAAACGCTCTCCCCTCTTGAGTAAAAAGAAGTCACCAGCAGCTGATGTTCCAAACCCACCAACCTCTGAGCTTCCAAATGTAAAATCTGAGGAGGGCCTTGCAAACAAGGTCAAGAATGACCCTTACAGAGGTAAAAGAAAAACTATATTTTTGTTAAATGATCTTTTCTTGTATATAATGTCTTCTAATCTATTGCTAAAGCTCCACAGGTAATTCGAAAGATCAGAGGGGAACCTTTTGCAGACCACTGTGGAAACATGAAACTGTGGTGCCAGTTCTTCAATGTTCTCTGTGAATCAACAGTCACATGGTTCAGAGATGGACGGGTCATTGCAAGCAATATAAAAAGGTACAACGTCTTATCTTAAATAACATCTGTAGATACATCTGTAGTTCATGAGCTGTTATCTCCTAGTGCAGGGGATGAAACCCAAGTCAATCTTGCTCTTGCCCAGGCCACATGCCTCGACACTGGTGTTTATGGATGCACAATTTCAAATGAGTTTGGAACAGACTCAACTGACTTTTTGCTCAGTGCTGAAGGTATGACAATGTTTCACTCTACTGTCTACAGCGTTTATTTGAATTTTTCTTTCCTACTATATTGTAGTCTTACGTGGAATGTCACTGCGAGAAGATCTTGGTGGTAGGATTGTTATTAGTATTATCCTAATATTTTATAAATGTATTTTTGTTGTCAAAAATCATGTCAAAAATCTTTGCTTTCATTGGTGTTTGCAGTTGGGGAAGAAGTTGAACTGACACCTCTGATCTTCAACAAAGGCGTGGCAGATACTTGTGTGTGGGGAAATAAATTATTTGGCCGAATTATGGTGCAAGAAAGTCATCTTGGTGTTGGATTTTCCCACAAAACCTGGAGGGCCAAAGTCATTTATGGTCTTGAACCTGTGTTTGAATCCGGTAACTCTTGCATAATTAAAGTTTGCAATCCGATTGGATATGGAGGTAAATCAGAAGGTCTGCTGACACAAAACAATCAAGAAGGTGTTAAACAGGTGAGATGCTATAGACAGATCATGCATTAGCCGTTGTAATGCAGATATTTTTTTTAGAAGCTAATCCACCTACTTATGTTTGCTATCTACTTAAAAGGCATGTCAATTTCAAAACCTTGTTCGTGAATACTGCAAGATCTTCTCAACAGAGGCAAGAGGAATAGATAATTTTGGCTCCTTCCTTGAGTACGTTTTATGATGCATACTTATTAAAAACACAATTTATAAAAGCTATACAAGCTGTACAACTGTGTACATTTTTGTCATACAGAGTGATTCCGGTTTACATGCTGTATCGGCCAGCAAACAGCATACCATATGCCACAGTGGAGACAGATCTGACCGGCGTGTTTAATAGATACTGTGGACTGGATCACACTGGAAAATTAGACATGAGGAGTGCTTCGGAAGTGGAGCAGAAGTGCTGTGCGCTGCTGCACTGGATCTTTCAATGGACCAATGGAAATATGCTGTTCACCAAGCTCGAAGGTAGAACCTGAAAGACATAATACTGGCATCATAACTGAAAAGGGAGTTTGAGAATACAATTACATTAGCTAATGTATTCGTATACTAGAATTCATGCAATTTTTGTATTCACAATGACCATGGAGCAAGGGCAATTGATTACCAACCTACTCTTGAATTCATGTTTTGTGTGTTTAGCTTAAACTGTTAGCTGTTTGATGTTTTGTGAATCTCATTACCACTGTGTCCTTTCCTTCCAAAGTAATTTACTGCATGTTAGATTGATGTAAGCTAATGTTTTGTCATTTGCAGGTGTTGACTTTAAGATCACAAACATCGGTATTTCTGTCAAATCACACGGGTCAGTAATTTTGATTTGAAACCAGAACTCATTTGTTTGGTAATTTGCATCTAAATCCATTTGCTAAAATCTCTGTGGTTTTTGCATGTCGCTACAGGCACCAGGGTCTCCCTCTTGTGGGAAATCCAAAAATATTTGAGCAGTTTGTTATCCAGCATCAATGTAATTACTACTGTGGCCTGCTGGGTCTACGTTCACTAAAGGTTATTGAGTCACTACTGATGCCGACAAAACCGAGAGGCTCTAAAAGTCCATTACTTCAACGTAAACTTGGCTCGTCAAGCCCCCAGACCGGGCGAAAGACTTCTGCGAGCCCCAGGACATCTAAGAAGAAGCTGCAAGACGGTCACAGAACTCCGACTGAACAAAGCCCTGCAGATGAATCTAAGGATAAGCTGAGCACAAGCCCTTAAACTGTGTCATCACTGTACAGGAATGTGCACAGTATATAGAGAATTATTTTGATGGAGTCACCAGCCAAATAATGCACCCTTGACTGAAGTAAATATGTCTTTAATAAAAAGTCTTTGCACCGCGCCTTTTTTCTTTGCCTTTTTTCTTGTGAGCATTAGCTTCATAGGTAATTCTGAAGCCAAATGCCTAGTGTACAAATGTCCAGTGTACAGCATTTGTTTGCTCACTATGATCACACTGTTTAATTAATGTGTTTCATATACAGAATCTGGGGCTGTGTTAGTCACATGCAGCTCAGAAGTACAGCCATAATTCCAGTGTGCCTTTATTAGGCATTAGCGTATTATGGAGTGAATCAGATTAGCTTAAACACAGGCAATCATTATCTCTCTTTATTAGCAAATATTCATCTTCTGCTCCATGGTGATTTCAGTGATTCCTCTATAGCGTAATAGCATCTTCTTGAATCTTGCATGTATAAAAAAATACATATATATAGTTTCTGCTTCAAGGTTAACCCCCAGAGTAAAACCTAAAAGTAGTTTAACCTGAAAAGATTTCTTTTGAATTGCCAATTCTAAGAGTATAAAGGTTAAGAGTTGATTAGCATTACTTAGCATAATTAAAGATAAAGAAAGTCTAACTAATCAATACCTTATCTCTAATTATAATGATGAAGTGGTTGTTAAGCCTTAATTATTCATAATAGATTGTACATTCTGACTTCTTCATGCTTGGCTATACATTTGCAAAGTTTCACTGACAGGTTTTGATCTGAAGCCACTTTATTGTATAGCTTAGGGCAGGGGTCTCCAACCTTTTTCAGTCAGAGAGCTACTTTTATACAAATGAAGAGGCAGAGAGCTACTCCTTTTTGCAGTTGTAATAAAAATGCATCTAATAATTACGACAAAACACGGAGAACACATGTAAAATATACCATAATACTGTATAACCCTATATTTATACTTATAATAGACATGAAATGGCTCAAAATGTATTCATTGTTAATTCTAATTCCTTTGGCGAGCTACCTGAAAGGGGCTGGCGAGCTACTGGTAGCTCCCGAGCAACAGGTTGGAGACCCCTGGCTTAGGGTTTCCAAAACATTACACACACTGAAACAAACAACCAATCCTGGTTGTTGACCTAAACGTTTGGTAAACTGATAACTGTAGTGATAGGGCTGTGAAATGTCAATGGTTATTCTTCAAAGTAAAAGTAGCCTCTGTTTTGGTCCGTCCTCATTAGCACTTAATCGTGCTGTGAGAGAAGTGTTTATGTTGTGAAAGGCTAATTTCATCAAGATAATTCTTAGTGATTCCTACTCATTATGAATCATCTTTTATGTCCTTTATGTAATATCTGGACTTAGGCATCCATTTTGATTCTAACCATTAATTAATCTAATTTGATAAATCGAGTGAAGGGTGTTGGATCCACGACTACCTTATGAAAAGTATTGTGACAAATACTGTAGCTGTTCCATGGTGAGATGTTTGTAACTTCAATATCCCAATATGTTTTTAACAATTGTGATGACCTAAGGAAAATAATGGAGTAAGATTATGCATTGGCACAGTTTTTCCTGCACTAGTGTGTAGCTCTGATGGAATGGCATGAAAATCACTAAATCATAGGGAATATCGTCAGCATTAATATTTCTTATAAGAATAAATCAGTGAATTTTTAGTCAATGTACAATTGAATAGGATTAATAACGTATTCATATTTATTCATTACTTTCACATGCAGTTTTATTTTTAAAACAGAGCTTTTCCAGAATATTCAACAGATTCTTGTTAATTTCTGTATTATGACTATTATAGTTTTATGGCTATCAAACATATTGTCACCTCCTCTCTATCCCTAAAACCTTCAAATCAGGTCAGAAATCCAGGGGTGATACTGGACTCAGACTTAAATTTTTATTTCCACATCAAATCAGTAACATCAGCAGCTTTTTACCGCCTAAAAACATTGCCAGGATCAAAAACATAGTGTCTAAAGCAGACTTGGAGATTCTTATCCATGCATTAGGGTAGATTACTGTAATCTCTCACAGGTCTGTCCAAACAGGCTGTAAAAAAGCTGCAGTACATTCAAAATGCAGCAGCTCGAGTCCTGACTAGAACCAGGAAGTACGATCACATTAGTCCAGTCCTCAGGTCTCTGCACTGGCTTCCTGTGGCTCAGAGAATAGACTTTAAAACAGCTCTGCTTGTGTACAAGTCTCTCCATGGCCTCGCACCAAAATATATTAGTGACATGTTAGTGCCATATGAACCAGCCCGGACTCTGAGGAGCAAAGGGACGGGACTGCTGTTAGTGCCCAGAGTCAGGACTAAACATGGGGAGGCTGCATTTCAGATTCATGCTGATAAAATCTGGAACAATCTTCCTAAAAATGCGAGACAAGCCTTTTGCAAATAACTGAGGGATTTTATATTTTTATCTTTCCATTTGATGTACTGTGATTATTTATGATTTTAATGCTGTCTTAGATTGGCATTGCGTGAGATTGACAGGTGGATCGGTGCAGCGTGCTCAGTGATGCAGTTGCATTGTATCGGACCGTTGTGGTAAAGAGGGAGCTGAGCCGAAAGGCAAGCTCTTGATTTACCGGTCAATCTTCGTTCTCTCCTTTACCTTTGGTCATGAGCTTTGGGTACTGACTGAAAGAACGAGATTGCGAAGCGGTCGAACTGAGCTTCCTCCACGCAGTGGCTGGGCGCTCCCTTGGAGATAGGGTGAGGAGCTCAGTCACAAGTGAGGAGCTCGGAGTAGAGCCGCTACTTCTCCACGTTGAGAGGAACCAGTTGAGGTGGCTCGGGCATCTGTTCCGGATGCCTCCTGGACGCCTCCCTGGGGAGGTGTTCCGGGAACATCCCACCGGGAGGTAGACCCCGGGGAAGACCTAGGACACGCTAGTGGGACTAGTCTCTTAGCTGGCCTGGGAACGCCTTAGGCTCCCCCCAGATGAGCTGGAGGAAGTGTGTGTGGATAGGGAACTCTGGGCGTATCTGCTTAGACTGCTGCCCCCGCGACCCGGCAATGGATGAAGCGGAAGAAAATGGAATGGAATGGTATATTTCTAAATTAGTCCTTTTGCATTGTTAAGGAATAACAAACAATACAAATGAGTTCAGTTTCAGTTTATTTTGAAACATGTGTGCATACTTCCTACATAAGCCTTAAAACAAAACCAAACATTTCTAATCCATTCACATGTTCAAAAGGGAGTAGGAAGAAGCAAAAGCTTATATGGTCCTACCCCTCATTTACAAAATCCGTTATTTATGTGGAAACAAGGGAGATGGTGCAAAATTTACAAGTGTACAAACAAACAATAACATATACTGTATTTCTCTGAAAAAGGTAAATACAAGATTAAATGTGTGTATGTAGTTTAACGCATACACACACACATATCTATACACATATACATACATACTCATACGTACATATACACACCATTATACTCTTCATGTGTTCGGTCATTGAGCCTACTGGGCAAAACCTCATTCTTCTTTACTGTATTCCTCAATTAGTTGTTTTTTATATAAACTTTTGAAGTGCAGAATGGTGCTGCTTTGTTTTAATTCCTCTGACAGACTGTTCCATAGTTTAACGCCACCAATAGAAACATTGAAACCTTTCATAGTTGTTCTTGCATATTTTACTTTAAAGTTTAGCTTTCCTCTTAGATTGTATTTCCCTTCCCTCTCTGAGAACAATGCCTGAATGTGATTGTACAATTACATGTATCAAAATTGAGACATGCTGTCTTCTCCCCTGATTGTGACACAAAAGTCTGCTTTGTGTCTGTTCTGATATGATTGATTTCAACATGTTCTACTACTTTGTGTGTAATCATACATTAAAGAGTTAATAAACACCTCCCCATCGCTGCATGTGGCATCAAATGTTACGCCTCTCCCTGACCTCAATTAGCATTAGCACACAGGGCTGCCATGTTCATTTAGGCAGATTATGTGAAAAGGATCACACACCCCTAAATGCCACAGACTATTTGACATTTGAAACAACTTTTATCTCTGGTTAACCAAAAGTCAGTGGCTGGCTCTGTTCAGTGCCATCGTCTTTGCGGAGTTCATTAAACATTACTGTTACAAGCTTTTTCCGAGTCTGATATCAGAGCAGATGTATATCTTGCCTCATCTGAGATATCAAAAGAATAATTCAGTGCAGCAAAGTCTATTGTGAGGCGCAAATTATAGCATACCATGAGGTACCCAGAGGTGATTTATGAAAACAAATTAAATAAAGCTTATATATTTTGTTAGGGACCAACAACAACAATATTCCTTATGCAAAGAAGAAAATGTATGTAGAACATTTTATGCTAAACATGTGCCACAGTGTGCTAAGTCATTGAGTTAAAAGAATAGTCTATTCTGATATCCACCTGATTATTTAGACATGGGGAGGGTAAAGCTACACATACTTTTATACTTTAACAGTATAGAAATGTCTTTATATACTTTTAAAGCATTACTTTTCAGATTTTTAGAATTAGAATTATTGTTGGTGTGCATCGTCATGATACGGCTGTCAATATAGTGCAATAATATTTAATATATGATTATAGTACGAATGTATTGCATTCAAAATATAAGCTTGAAGATAAAGAATATATGTCATAAGTTCAGTGCATTGACTTATTGACTATATTACTTTTCTTATCTATAGTATGACTAATAGCAATTAGGCTATGAAAGACAAACACTAATACAAGCACAATAAACAAGTGTGCCCACACAAAGTAAATGTTTAATGTTTACTGCATAAACATTATTTCACAATAAAAATAATAAAACTATGATAATTCAAATTAAAATATTTAGATATATTTATCAAATTGTATCCAGCAGGTATCACAAAAGCCTATGAGCGTGTTATGGGAGACCTGTTTAATTTCCTGTAAATGTTTGATTTTCTGTATGTAAGCAAGTGATTACAGTTGTAAACGTAGGCCTCAGTCCAGTGCAATAGAAGACCAGTGATTCAGTTCTCCAATGAGTCGATGCACTTGACTGAGCTTTTCTATTGCACCATGTGATTTTCTTGATTGTGTATTGTCATTCCTCCACTTCTCTAACACCTCTGTTCATTTTTCTCTGTAAAGTTTGTTGCAATGAAATATGACCACTTTGGGGTACGTGATTCACCGTCGCCCTGTCTAAATAATCAAGTAGCCTGTGCTCCAACGTTGAATGCATTGAATAAACTAGATAAATTCTATCAACTCTTCTGTGTTTATTCCAATGTCTCACCTGTTGTTAAGCACATTGATTTTTTTGTACAAAATGTGCTTTTTTGGTTTTTAACAAATTCATTTGTTTAAAATAATCATATTGAGTATATTTTCATTCACAACTGCCTCACAGCTGCTCCACCGAACCCTCTGATCATCCCTCACCAGTTTTATTGAAACAAGGTTTTAGTGGCAAGGAAAGCCGGAGAACCCATAGGAAACCAGAGCAGTAAGTAAGTAAGTAAGCTTTATTTATATACCGCCTTTCACAGACCAGAGTCACAAAGCGGTTTACAATTGTTATTTTTTGGGCACTTGTCTCTCCACACAGAGATGGGAGCGGGGTCGCCGAACAGGAGGCGCATGCCAGACCTATTGTACATATTTTTAGTGGTAGGGGAAACCGGAGAGGAAACCTACGCAGACATGGGGAGAACATGCAAACTCCACTCAGAAAGGCCCTGGTCCGGCCGGGATTTGAACCCAGGACCTTCTTGCTGAGAGGCGAGAGTGCTATCCACTCAGCCACCGTTTTTTGCAAATGAAAGCTATTTGCCTAATCATTTTTTAGACTTTATAAACACTGAGGCCCAAATGAAAGAATATATTTTGTAGAATTAATACACTTTGATAAGTAGTTTTTGTAATTAATGATAACATGATGAGTGTAGTGAACAAGCGTATATAAAAACATGCTAAATTATTTCTCATTGCTTTGTGTCACGTTAAGGACTGAAGTACTCACAATTTTCTATGGTAGACTGTACAGTACAGTCTGCCAGGCAGGCCCCAGGCCTATCCATTTATTGTTAAAAATAAGAAATTATCTACATTTAATTTGTATTAATGTAAACAAGTAAGAGATATTGCATTTTACCTTATTTATAAATATATATTTATACCTACTGTAATATAAGCCTTTTTATGTGGTCGGTATCGGGGCCCCCAAGGACTCTGTTGCCTGGGGCCCCGGGGTACCCTTGGAACGCCTCTAGCTCTTGGCCAGTGAGGAAGGTTAACATCAAACAAATAAAAAATAGACTGAATAAATGAATGACAAGACGTCTTCAGAAATAGATAGATGGATACTTTATTGATCCCTGTAGGTGAACTTCAGGTGTCCAGCTACTGAAACACATCCATTCACACAAACAAAACAAATAAACTCATAGGTCACAGCAGCAGAGGTGGAACAGGACAGTTCACAGCAGCAAAGATGGTGTAGCCAAATCTTATTTTAAAATGAAAAATCAATTATACAAAAACCAAGGAGGATTTAGAAAAGCATACACTTAGATTGATAACCATTACAAGGCTTTTCTATAAAAATGCCATTCTTCAAGAAAGGTGTTCTAAATAATAATAATAATAATAATCAATAATACTAATAATAATTTACTTTTACAATATAAATATAGCGCACATACATGGGTGCATTTAAACAAAATTAAACTGGCTCATATGTGTGCAACCGTATGAGGCAAGGTGATGTTCGGTTCGCCCTTAGCTCAACAAAACATTTGCATTTATTAACAAACACTATATCAAATAAAGGGCACTGACACAGGCATATTCCACCCCATACGATTACATAGGAAATTACAGGGGCCTGATTCGAACACACTTGTTATAATGAAAATAATGTCTCTATAAAGAGTTATCCTGTTTTTTGAGTAAAATTACGTTTTAAAAATGCAAAGAACTAAATTTGCCAAAGGCCAATGTGCGAGTAATCTAACACTGATAATAATTAAAGATTTTTTGTATTTTGTATTTTCTACACATTTTCTACACATTTCTCTCTCTTATATGTTTACTCCTGCCTCAAGAGCGGTGCTTAATGACATATAACATACAAAGTGAAGATCACTTGCAAATGTTACAGTCGTATCCTGGACTGACACCTCAACCCTGCGGGTGCCGTGGGCGGGACTTCCGGTGCCGCGCACCCGGAAGACGCGGATGCGAGAGAATAGTGGCGGATCGTGCAGCCATATGGTCTTCATTCAGTAGTTTTAATGTGATTTAGGCTTCAATCCGCACCGTAGTATTTCAAAATGCTGTCTTTAGATTTCCTTGACGATGTCCGTCGCATGAATAAGCGTCAGGTATGTTTGTGTGACGTGTGCTATTTTCTTTTGTGTGATCAGAGCTAATGTAGACGAGCTTCACAAAGCATTTCACAGCGACACTTCTACAAGCTAGTATTTGGGTTAGCTATCAAAACACAAAGTACATTTGAGCTTAGTTTCTTAAACAACTATATATTCAAGTAGCGATTGACTATACCAGATAGTTATTGCTAATTTGTGTTCATTTGTGTGCAGCTCTATTACCAGGTGTTGAACTTTGGGATGATAGTTTCTTCTGCTTTGATGATCTGGAAAGGCTTAATGGTCGTAACTGGGAGCGAAAGCCCAATTGTAGTCGTTCTCAGGTAAGTCCTCTTTTGTGGCATGTTTCTGTGGAAGGAATCTGCCTGTTTCTGCCGAGTACATTGCGTAAACAACATATGAACTATAAATGCACTCGTAGAGCGCTGACGTCCACCTAGAGGCACCGTTCAAGTCCGTTAAAAGGAATACATCTACATGTCTACCTGTATGTCTATATGTCTCTTTGTATGTCTATGAATCATTGACGTAGGTTTGATGTATGAAATGTTTATTTTTGTTCTGCTAATTAAAAAAAAAGAAAAATATCTTGCACCCAGACAGTGATTTGGATCCAAATTGAATCCGGTGTTCATAGGGCCATTGGCATGATAAGTATACCAGTTTAAAATGTATTTGCAAAACTTTCGTCGAGAATACATGTGCAGATATACAGAGCTCAACATAGAATTATCATTTTGCATGACTCTGACCACTTCCTCTGTTTGTGTATATTTCCTGTTCTAGTCTTTTTTCATTCAGGTCTTTTCAATGATTTCTGCAATGATAAAGTAAAAAAAAAGAAACGAATTCAATTACCTGTCTAATGTCTGCTGGAAAATTGTATGCACATAGACGCACATTATTTTAGGACATGATCTTGATTTTCCTATTGATCAGTCAATTTTTGTTGCTGTAACTGTTGTAATTGTTTTGCTGTCACTGTTTAGCTGAACCTCCCGCTGTTACTACCACATACTTTGCACAATCTCAATTACCAGCATGTCTAAAAAAATAGAGAAGCCAATTATGTGGTAGTAACAGCGTTTGGACTTACTGAATCAAACACTCTGATCTCATCCATAGGATGTATTTTACTCCATTCTCCTTCCTATCATCCTTGACAATCTTTCCTAGCCTGACACGCTAGTATTAGGATTAGACAGCAATATGGCCTACGTGCAGGACTATACGGCGAGGTGGCTGAGTGGATAGCACTCTCGCCTCTCAGCAAGAAGGTCCTAGGTTCGAATCCAGGTCGGACCAGGGCCTTTCTGAGTGGAGTTTGCATGTTCTCCTCGTGTCTGCGTAGGTTTCCTCCGGGTACTCCGGTTTCCCCTACCACTAAAACTATGTACAATAGGGCTGGCATGCGCCTCCTGTTCGGCGACCCCGCTCCCATCTCTGTGTGGAGAGACAAATGCCCAAAAATAACGAATTGTAAACCGCTTTGTGACTCTGGTCTGTGAAAGGCGGTATATAAATAAAGATTACTTACTTACTATCAAGGACTCTGATTATTTTGACTATGATGTGCACTGTCTCTGTGTGACACGTATGTCTTTCGATGTGTGACATGACACTGACTATATAAACTGTGTACTGACTTGTCGGAGAGAAAGAAACAATTGAAACCACTGGAACTTGAGAGAAACTTAAATAAACTTCCAGAGTTTGGCGCACCACGATCCGTCTGTCTGGTTCATCCCTGACACTAGTCTACGACAATATTTCAATAATTTTCTAATGCATGTTATGTTATGGTAATGCTGGTTATTATTTGTATACATTGTTTAACTAAAGGTGGAACAAGTTAAACAATTCTGGCTGATTAGGACGAACGATATATATACACACACACATATATATATATAATTATATATATATATATATATGTGTGTGTGTGTGCTGTCAAACAATTGTCATAGTTTCTCGCAATTAATTACAATATATCATACATTCTTCTCTGTTCTGAATGTCCTGTGAGGATTAGATAGCGATTTGGCCTACGTGCAGGACAACTGCAAGACTATACAAGGACTGATGCATCCATGTTTTGACTATGACATACTCGTGACTGTCTCTGGATTTGACACGTATGTCTTTCGATGTGTGACGTGACAATGACTATATAAACTGTGTACTGCCTTTTCTGTCTGAGAGAAAGAAACATCAGAAACCACTGGAACCAAAATAAACTTCCACAGTTGGGCGCACCATCATCCATCTCTGTCTGGTTCATTCCTGACAGTCCTTTAATGGACAAAGTAATCATATCATTTGGTTCATGATGCTGATGTGATTCATAATCAAGTAATTACCATGTTGTTTTTATTCACATTTCATTAGCAGGAAAGAAAGAAATTTGTGCTTGCGTTAATTGTGCAATACAAAAAATGTAGTTAATGTGGGTTTGTCTTAACTGTGTTATTAATGCGTTTAACTGCCCACTGATATATATTTGTTTATCTTGCAGCGGGAGCATGGAGCCAGCGTTCCACAGAGGGGACCTACTTTTCTTGACCAACCGAGTAGAGGACCCCATCAGAGTTGGAGAAATTGTCGTCTTCAGGATAGAGGGCAGAGAGATTCCAATAGTACACAGGGTACTAAAGATCCATGAAAAGTATGCCATTTATCTGTTTGATTGTAATTACTTTGTTTTAGATGGTGTATTCCATAAAGAATTATTGTCATTAATGTTTATGTCATCCCATCTGATAGTTGTGTTTTTTCTTTAGGGAAAATGGAGACATTAAATTCCTGACTAAAGGAGACAACAATGCAGTTGACGACAGAGGATTGTATAAGCAGGGACAACACTGGCTGGAGAAAAAAGATGTGGTTGGTCGAGCTAGGGGGTAAGTCCATGTACATGAATTTTAGCTAGGACCACAACCTCAGAATATTTATTTTTATTTTTTTTATTTATTTATTTCAAAACCTGCACAAAAACAAGTACAAATATCAGTTATCAAATAAAAAGAGTCACAAGTTTTGAAAAGGGGGTTGGGTGAAGCAGACGCTTATACATTTCCAACCCCCTCACACTTCCAGCAAAACAGCAAATACAAATTACACTAACACTGTACAGTTATATCATTGCATCAAATACAAAATACAAAATAATAATACAAAAAATAAAAAAACAACACACACAGAGACAAGACGCACACTCATTCTCTCACTCACACAGACACTGGCCCAAACACTCCCTGACCACACACCTCTCTCCCACCGCTCTGTCCAGGCCCAGGGCATCACTCTCTGTCCTCCATGTATTTCTTCAATATGTCTCTTTTTAAATTTCTTTTTAAAAGCAGTCATAGTTGAGCATATACATCATGGAAGTGAAATGACTACTGTAAAAAGAGTTGAGAGATTATCAGTGATACAGTGGTTGCTTGAGAACTATAACTGAGCCAAAGATAACTACTCTGCATTATCTTTTATGTATCATGTGACTCGGAAAAATATTTGATAGGTAAAAGTTGTAGGGATGCACTGATGGGTCAATACCATAGGCTTGTACTCGTACTCATACCATAAGACAAGATGCCGGCAACCGATACCTACATTTTTTATTTACATTAGCGTCACAACAGCAGACTGCTGTGCAGCACGTGTTGCCATGGAGATCGCTGAAAGTAGGCACCTAGAAAGCACTTGCTGCTAGCTTAGCGGCAGCATAGCTTAGCCGCTAGCTTAGTGGCAGGCGGACAGGATCTCGCCCGTATGGAGGTTTTTTTAATGGAAGTAAACGAGTGACAAGAGTAAAATGGACTATAAAGCAAAACTGTCACAAGGTGGGTCCAAAAAAACATGTATAACACCAGAAACGTTATCAAACATCTGAACACTCACCACCACGCGGTGTATAATGGTGCTTTCAGACCGCCAACGCTGAAACGCTGAAGCCCTGCTCACCAGACGCGCATCCTCTAGTTTTCAGACGCAGAGGTTTTCACACCGAGATGTCCTGACACGCACCGGAAGTAGCCGGCCGGCTCTGATGCTAACAGAGCTATGCTAGCGGCTTCTTGTGTACAGATCTTCTCCAATATGCAGCTTTGCAGCGTGTCTTTGAACAGAGACTTTCCACGGGCTTTATACAACAGTAGTATGTGTTCACGGAGGTGCGCCATACGTTTTTTCATATTATTAAACGGTATTTCCGCATCGGTGAACACACTCAAAGCAGTTGCATAAGGTAACGGGAGCATGACAACGCATATTTTCACAAGCACACAGTCCCCCATTGTCAACCCTGGTTTGAGTTCTGGTGAAGCCTTGTGTGGGTCCTGTTTTGGCTGTTTACGAGTATTTTCAGTCTGCTCGCTCAGTCCGCTAATGTCCCGTGACCACTTTGCGGCTCTCTGAAGTCCTAGGTCCTGGGGTGACAGTCGGACTTCTTATCCTTATAAAACAAGTAATTTATTCAATAAACTAGTTTATGAGGAGTCACTACAGCTTTGTGTAGATTAAGACTTTGTTAGGGTCTTCATTATATGAATCAGTGAAGCACAAACCACTGATGAAGGCAGAAGCTTAAGCCTAGTGTATACTTGCGCGGCTTACGTTAGCGGTTGCGGTGGAAAACACACACGGACCAATCACAGCGGAGCTTCCTTGCGGCGACCCTTACATAGTTAGAAAATTTCGATGCTGCGCGGCAGGCAACGTAAGGGCCTAGCGGTGATCCACGCGTTGCGCAAGTGACGTCACGTCACCTTCATAAGCTCCGCGCCGCACAAGTATACACTAGGCTTTACTGCCAAAACATTCCAGGTAATTAAGCAAGTGTCTAAAGAGAAGAAAACACTTAATTAATTTTCTAAAAATGAAAAGCTGGTAAACCACCAATTAGTAGAAATGCCTTTTCTGTTAACCCTTCAAGGTCTAAGCTCATTTTGGGGAACTTTCCTCGCCTGGTTTTCTTTGTGTATAATTGCTCATAAAATAGTCATCTTGTGATGCAGAGTCAAGCAGTAAACTTTGTTTTTTTCAGTACAACCTGTGGATTTATAATATTCATAGTGTACAGCTGTCATATGAATTATATAAAAAATATGGAATCATGAAGACAAAGAAAAAAATGAAACGGAAATTCAATTTCACCAAAATGTTTTGAAAAACACAATGAAATGCTATTGCTAACGTTTTACACTGTATAGAAATGTTATTTAGGGTCTTGGGGTTGATGGGGAAAAAAATTGAACCTGTGACTATTATAATTTTTACAAAATTCCACTACAAGTGAAAAAAACGCTGTACTCCTGATGCCCTTCCTGAAGCAGTTTGTCTATGTCTATATATTGCTTCAGTATCACAGCTGTAAGATATGTAAAACAAAAAAACTAAGAAAACAAAGAAAGAAAAACAACATCTCATATTCATATACATCATATCATTATAATGTATTTATCGATGTCAATAATAAATATATAATATAATTACATCAATAATGCGCACTCTTCAGCCAGGTGCTGGCTCTTGTGAGCGCTGCATCTGCGTCTCCTCCTATCTTTGTGTAATACACTTTCAAGCCCAGACTCTGAACACACACATCACTCGCAGTGTTGCCAACTTAGCGACTTTGTCGCTAGATTTAGCGACTTTTCAGACCCTATAGCGACTTTTTTTCAAAAAAGCGACTAGCGACAGATCTAGACAAAGCATTAAAATCATTAAATGTTGTTAATGTTGAAATTATTTGTGTACATTTGTAGTTCTAAACATATGTAGGGTGTTTTTTACTCACTTTTGTCTCTCCCACGACGTTATTCCTCTCTCCTGCAGCGTCCATTACAGTTATTTGCAAATAGCAAATTATGCAAATTAGGCGATGACGTCATTTAGCGACTTCTAGCGACTTTTGGGACAGCCAATAGCTACTTTCCTTACTGGGGAGTTGGCAACACTGATCACTCGTAGATCACGTAGATCAGTGATCAAAAGCTACATTAGCTGTGTCGGGGACGCATTTTCGTAACATTCCGCTAAAATAATGCGTCTTTTACGCATCAGTAATTGCAATCGCAGCTGTAATTTCAACTATGGGACAATACATACACACAGGAGAGTGGATCATCCTACTCTCTGACAATCTTTGGCAGTCCCTGTGTCAGCGTGTAAGCAAAATAACTTTACTGTTTTGGCTGTTTTACCTCACGGGAGACCGCTCGAAGATCCGATTGGACACCGACTTTCAAACACACGTAGAAAATTCCCCAAAAGTCACACAGACAAAACAAAACTAGCGCTGTAATACCTGAAATGTGTACTTCACGGAGAAAAAAAAAAGTAAGTCGCTACGTTTTGCCGTTCATGAGAAAATTGAACATTTATAAAACATGTGCGCAGGCGTCAGATCCGATGCTCTAGACCCCAGAGGGTTAAAGATGCATTCAATGCTTTATCTAGACGCAATTGCGAAAATACTATGGGGAAACGTCCCTAAACCCCAAAAGTAGTCAAGTTATAATGTGTTTTCAAATAGGAATGGATATAACCAGATGCCTGTAGCCTCAAAAAATAAATCATAAATATTTTTGAGTGGACCAATTGACCAAAACCAGTGGGATTCGTGCAGGGGGGAGGGGGAGTGGTTTTGAGTAGGTGCTGCTCGGATGCTACTGCTAAGCTAGCAGTAATCCCTTACTGCACCTTTAACTTCAACACAGGTCAAGTAATGTCAATTGACCTTGTGGTGTTTTGTTGTTATGTACTCTTGTATGTGGATAATACTTGGATTGGGTAATACTATTAAAACTCTCTAATCCTCTTATTTATCCTTTTGAGATTCTTGTGAGATCAAATGCATAATAAAGCCTGTTTGTCAGCTGGGTAAGCCAAGTCACCTTTAAAATGAATACAATAGACCTGTAGCTCATCAGGCTCAATGATTGTTGAACAATGCCGACTTTTGGCTCTATAGATACTTGAACATGAATAAGGGTAATGGCCGCTCTATGAATGAACAAAAATTCAAGCACCATAGTTACAGCTACCTGAATGGGATTTCTGATTACCTTCAAGTTTGTTTTTCTTTCTATTAGATTTTTTTCTACAAAGACCTGCACATGTATAGAATTGATAATGCCTGTTGTTTTGAAAAGTATTTCATTTTCCAAAGATATTCGTAAATTTCCCATAGAATTAAATATTATGATTAGATTTAGTATGTAGATGGGGTCCTTAAACAAATGTAAACATGTGCATAGTCAATATAATATCTTATAAGACCGTCCCTGCAGTGATTTCATACCACTGTTTTGCCATTTATGTATGTGGAATAAAAATTATAGATTACATTCTAACTGTATTGCTCATGTGTTGTTCAGGTTTGTGCCTTACATTGGAATTGTCACCATTCTCATGAACGACTACCCAAAGTTTAAAGTAAGTAGAAAACGGAAATGTGATTTTATTTCAAATTTTAAAACTAATATGTGTGTCTATTTCTGCAGTACGCCGTTCTCTTCATGCTGGGACTGTTTGTGTTGGTTCATCGAGAATGAGTTGGTACAATGCTCACAATAAAATATTTTTCTTTTTCCCCACATTCAATTCTTTTTGGTACAGTCAATTGAATGTTTTATTGAATCAGATGTCATAAGGTTTTATTGTCAGAGGCGGACTTACAAGTTCTAACTTGTGAGTTTTATTTGGAATTGAGATTTGATCTGATGAAATGGACAAAAAGTTGGAATTTACGTGGAACAGGAACAATTCAAGTCGGACCTGATAAGACTTGAGACAAAGCGGAGAATTTATGGGTCATTGATGAGACTTGAAGACCATTCACAAAACAAGTTCTTTGTCCCACCTCTGTCAAATCATTTCTGTTTTGTTTGGTTTAGGTCAAAATGTTGTGTTTAGAATGCAAAGCGCGCTCTGTTTCAAGCATTGTTTTGAATTGAGTTGTCACATATTTTATGTCAACTATTAAATAAAAACGTATTAAAACATAATTTTTCATTAAAATGTATCCTTTTTATTTTGAACATCAAATGGATCAATATTTTCCAATTTGATGCATAAACATTGGGGTAGTGTTGCAGTTTTTTTTTTTTTTTTGCTTTATATGTGATAACATAATTTGTCACACATCGATCAACACCAACCTTCACACAAAACATTTCATGTGAAAGGAAGTACTGGAGAATCATACAATCAGCAGGTGAAACAAGCCGAGGAAGTGCCATCTGAGGATCTGTCCACACCAGGAGCAGAGACCTGAGTGCAGCCACAAGGGAATCTTAGGTCACAGGAGAGATGAGGCTCTACCTCAGCCAGGTTAGCCAGGACACAGAGGACACACAGAAGGGAAAAGGTCGAGGTGCTAAGCATTTTAAGATTATATGAAACCAGATGCCACTCTTTTTATTTTCATGCTCTTATATCTCAATATTAAATATATAACAATTGATTTGCTGTGGCTTATTAAAGTAAAAAGTCTTCAGAATATAACATATGGTACTAATCATAGACTGTATATGGTACTGATATCCATAAGGTGACAAGATACATTTTAGTTACATTCGGTAGCAAGAGATGAGATTGTTATGGCTGTGTATGAATAGAAATGTATGAAAGTAGCATACAGTCACTTGTACCCACACAAGTGACATAGAGGTGCCAATGTCTTATCAGCTCAAATTGACAGCAAGAACTGACATGTTTGTGCATCCTCCAAGGACTGACACAGTCGATGGGACTGATGGAGATCACACACTAGAAGTAATCGTGATGTAGGCACAGTTTAGGTACTAGGAAGGTCTTTTCTTCCATTATACCTCTAGGCCGTTATATTACGTTCCATGAAAATGAAATAAAAGGCCATTGCGACCAACTGGTTCTCCCTGTGGGCAAACATGCATGCACAGTCAAATCCAGGGATGGCTCAGAGACTCAGGGAAACTAACATAATGAACATATAGGCTGTAAGGCCTAGTTCAGTGCAGACACATTTTTTAAAGGATTACAAAAAAAGTCTCATTGATATACTTTAAATAAACCGCGTGACTCATGTTGATAATGTGCCTGTATCTCGGAGGTAGAGCCAGCCCACCCTGGTGGACATTCTCTATAAAAGCTGATGCGCCTTTGCGCGGCACACGCTTTGTGGTGCGCCCTAAGGATCAGGATCGTTCTAAATAATGAAGGGCATTACGGTCCATAACGTGTGCCATTATGGCTTTTTTGCGTATCTTGTGATATCGTTTATGCCTTTTACGGCTGCAGTCAGTTTTGACCTGACTGAGCTCAGGAATAAAGTAGCAAAGATTAAAGTGAATCCAAGAGGAAATCTGTGGGCAACGGGTAAGAACTTTTATGTAAACCAATTAGCCTATGCTTTAACTAAAAGACTGGAGCCAATGTTGAAGGAAATTGAGTTTATTCTTTGTTTTGTGAAAGGACATTTCATGGGTAAAAAGAGCGTGGTGGATGCCCCCCTGATGCCCTCCTCACGGATCCAGAGGATGGATGCTCTTGACATGTCAGAGCAGAGCGCGCTCACAGACATGTTGCAGGAGTTTCTGCGGATGGCGATGGACACGCAGATGGAAACACAAGAGAGCCGTTCTAAAGATTTGGTGAGTGTCATTTATTTCCTTTAAAATGAACCCAAGAGAAGTGTTGTTGTTGATGTTTTTGTGTGTTTTTTTTACAAGAACGCTTGTTCTCTTTCAGGAGTCGAATATGTTGCTGGAGATTTTACAAAATTATTTACAAAACAGAAAATGATGGGAGAGACCCAAGTCGCTGCATGGACATGCATTTTCTTGCTTTAGAGAAAGAGTAATTTGAAGTTTACAGTTTAGGTTTTTGTTACTTTGGTTAACTGTCACAATTATTGATGAAAGATTAAATATAATCTGTCGCATTGATTAAGTCATTGTTCTCATTTTACATTGTAGTTATTCAATAAAGTATTGGCACCACTGTGATGTTGGTCTCTGGGAGAATTTCAAATGTAAAATTAACAAAAAGAACAAATGGCAAATTGCTTGAAATAGTTCCATGTTATTCCTCAAATCAATAACTGCACTGCCTTAGGCAAAGACAACTTCACAAATGCACTGCTGTTATTTATATGAATACTCCCACAAGCTGCAGCTTTAGGATATTATAAGGAATGGTGATGCAAACACTTGAATAACAAGTGAAAAAGGTTGACACACTTGAAACTGGACGGCCATAAACAATGATTACTCAGCCACTTTCATATATTCTTAAGCGCTTGCAGGGACCTGCAAATTGTCCTGGTGTCTGTGTGTGCCCCACAGATGTAGGCCAATGGGTCATAACAAATTCACACAGAAAACCCATCTGTTTCCTGATGGAAAATAAACAGTTTTCAAATAATTCTGTTTTTGACTTCTGTTTGGCCAAACAAGTCTCTATCTTGTGGTGCCCTGCAGCTCCTTGTTATTTTTACAGCTTATGTTCTTGTTGAAAGACAACCACTGTTGATGTTTAACCTCAGCAGTAAAAAGTCAAAATAAGTCAAAATGAACATTCTTGTAAATTGTGTTGATAGTTCTCCTTATTTTTTTCCCCAACAATATTTGAAATGGTGTTTCCTAATGCTATCAGTCTTGTGTCTGAAGTATAGGGCTGTTTAATAAAGCTGTTGGCAAAGCTTATACATAATTGACCAAGTGAATATATGTGGTGTCTGAAACTGTAGCCCATGGCACATGTATCACACAAAGCTGACACAGACAAATGAGAAAGGCTGGAAGCAAAAATGCTATCATTATGGAGACTCCTAAAGGCATTTAACTGTAATGAAGTAATCTGTTTTGTCCTCACATGGTATACAACAAATAGCTGATTTAGAAAACGGCTACTAAATCATTGAAGTAGTCCATGACATTTAAGCAATGTTAAGCACACAATGGCTTTTAATGCCATTTAATTAAAAAAAGATAAAGCATAAATAAAATTTTGCTCCCACAAATTTTGCTCCCTCCTGTTGACAAGACACTTAACCCCACATTGCCTGAAGCTCCTGCTGAAACACCAGCGCTGAGGCACCGCTGATGTCGCAGCCATCTTCCTGCAGGTGGACCCACCACCTGCAGAGGATCAGCGAGGGACTGGTGCTATGAGCAATGGGTGGCAGCTCTCCATGACCCCCCCCGACCCATAAATCGACTAATAAAGGGGTAGAAAATGAATGAATGAATGAATAAAACATAAATGACCCAACACCCAACAGAAGAACCACATGCCCATTGAAAAGAACTTTGTTTTTTGTTTTTCTTGCAGTTTTACAATGATTCTTGAACAAAAAGCAATACCAGGGGAAATATCCTTCAAAATGCATGTATAAGAATTGCATTAAATGAATGATTGAAAGGAAGTTAAACAATTATAAGGATCACAGCTTTAAGATTAGAAGAAGAGCAAATATTGTCTTTATACTGAAACAGTTCTGAGTGAATGTGGAATTTAGCAAAGATTAGTATGCAATAAGATTTTTAAATAAAACTTCTTTTTGGGGGATGCGGGCACATTATGCATCCATGTACAAAAGGGAAAAGTCTTTTAGAATATTCAATTGTTTATAAAAAAAATAAAGGCTTTCTCAAAAGTTACTGTGTACACCAGAACAGATGCATAATTGTTTCAATGTCTTCATTACGGAAGGAGCAGGCAATGCTCCTATTGCAGTCATGGGTAGATTGTTGAAAACATTTAAAACAGACAGTAGAAACTTGTTTGTGATTATTTATATCGAAGGAAAGGTTCGTACACATTTTTGTCACCTGCTTTTTTGCGATCTGTTTGCCGGTGTCCTAAAGAAATATCAGAGGTAGCAGTCGTCCTCTCAGCAAAGGTAGGGACACTCCCTCTAAAGATCATCAGCACCCCTTTATCAGTAGCATCTATGAAAACAGCAACATTTGTAGTAGTAATTAGTATGCGATACATGGTTAAACATTTGGAAGAAACACCTCACAATAATGTTTTACATATACAATATTATTTTTACACCAATGCAGGTATTTGTTTTGGTAAATGATTTTGGCATTTTTCCAAATCTGAAAATAAGCCAGTTTTATAAGCAGTTTGAATTCAATTCAATACTAAATCTGGAATAAAGTTACACATCGAAGATTAAAAAGGATGGTCTAAACCAATTATTTAGAAAATCTATGGGAAATCTAATACATTTCAGAGTCTACAGGGTTTATGAGCAGTTTCTTTGATTAATCCATTTTATCCGTTTTCCGTTTCCCATTTTATCAATTAATTTACAAGTTAATATGTTGACGGTTATCCATAGACTGTATCCGTTATTATAATAGATCCATGACTGTATCGTTTAGCATAACATCAGCCTTGTTTTGAAAGATGATGTCATCAGTCCATGTGACCGGAGGCTCTCCTCTGATTGGCTAAAGCCTGCAGGAGGCTGTACTGCAGGGTAGAGCCATCGGAGCCATTTTATTATTACATCTGCAGAGCGGCAGGTGCATCTGCATTTTTCTACTTCTGTTGCACTCATTCAGTCGCTGAAGCATGGGACAGTGTGGAATTACATCGTCCAAGACCGTGTTGGTTTTTCTGAATCTCATATTTTGGGTAAGCAAATTACGTTGAACATAGAACGTCCATTGACTCTGGTGATGGAGAGGAAAACATTAGCAAGCTAGCAAAGTGCGCCAGAGATGCGCTGTGTTCATTTTGGGCTAGTCCCCCGGTTACAAATGCTCAAATCTCTATTTCTGAAGCTCAAATCAGTGAAGAAAATACTTTTGGAAAATTACGTCTGATGTATAATGATAATGTAGGCAAGGCTGTGGATGTGAGAGTTGCTGCATCATGCTCAAAGATGTTGGTGAATGTCATCTGTCTTTAAAGAAATAGCTGTATGTGGCACGTTTATTGTCTGTGTTCTATATTCTCTCTTAAAATATAATTCAATGCATTTTATGTGTTTGCAACATGTTTATATTCGGGCTATTGTCACTTTGCATGTTACTTACTGCGAAAAACCTTTATTCCTTTGACTAGATTCTAGGGTTTAACATTTGTGCTTTCTTCCTACAGGCAGCAGCAGGGATACTATGCTACATTGGAGCTTATGTGTTCATCACTTATGATGATTATGACCACTTTTTTGAGGATATCTACACCCTGATTCCTGCTGTCATAATAATCGCTGTGGGCTCTCTTCTCTTTGTCATTGGTCTGATTGGTTGCTGTGCCACTATTCGTGAGAGTTCTTGTGGTTTGGCAACAGTAAGCAAACACGTATGAATACATCTCTATTTTGTTCATGAACTAATAATAACATTTTCTGTCTAATTTGTTTCAGTTTGCCGCAATCCTCCTGCTGGTGTTTATGACGGAGTGTGTAGTGGTGGTTCTGGGCTATATATACAGAGCTAAGGTGCACCTTCAAAGTCCCACACTCAACACACAATATTCTAAAGAAAATCAAAATTTGTTGCAAAATACATCAAACGTTTTTTTATTATTGTCAGGTTGAAGATCAGGTGAATCACTCCATCCAAAAAGTTTATAATGAATACAATGGGACAAATACAGACGCTCCGAGTCGTGCTATTGACTATGTGCAGAGACAGGTAAGCCAGCCAAAATTCCACTTGAAAATATTCTCTAAAGTATCTCTGCTACACAAATCTAAATTGTACTGTTGATTGTTGACTTGTGCCTTTAGCTTCGCTGCTGTGGCATTCATAACTATTCAGACTGGAGGTACACACACTGGTTTAAAGAGTCCAAAAACAACAGTGTTCCTGTCAGCTGCTGTCAGCCCAACATCAATAACTGCACTGGTACTCTGACTCGCCCTGGAGACCTGTACCAAGAGGTAAACATTCATACTGTACAACCATAATACTAGACTTTATTCACCTACATGCACACCCTGGATTTTTTGTATTTCTATCTTAGGGCTGTGAAGCTTTGGTTGTCAAAAAGTTAAAGGAGATTATGATGTATGTCATTTGGGCAGCTCTAACATTTGCATCTATACAGGTAAGCATTATATAAATATATCTATTTGTATTTTTTGTTTGTGCAACCACATTCTATTCAGAGAAAATAAAGAAAACACATGTTTAGTACATCAAACAGAACACATTTTAGAGATGCCACTTATTGTTTTATTTACAATGTTTGAATAAAAAGTATCCCTTTTAGATAATAGCTCATTCTATAAGTAAAATATAGTTTACAGATTCATTAAAGAAAATCCTTTTTGCAGTCCTCCCTAAAATGAAAATAATACATGTTTCTGTATAAACATAGTTTCTTCTGTCTGCAGATGCTGGGCATGTTGTGTGCCTGTGTTGTTCTGTGCAGAAGAAGTCATGATCCTGCGTATGAACTTCTGGTCACAACCAACAGTTATGCATGAGATCAAACCAGCAACCAGAACTTCTAATGGAAATATCACTACACACATCTCCCTGTCTCCTTGATTTCACCTTGCATATTTCATTACTAAGTCCTAGTCACTGGAGATGAATCACAATGGTTTTATTTATACCAATGGAATGGTATGTTTTTTTCCATAATACCAAAGCTGTGAGTAAGCAGCTATGCAGTGTCAGTCATATTTAGGTGACTGTCACTTCTTCTTATTGTTGATGATTTATGGTTTCTTTAAATTCGCTCATTCTTGTGAAATGGGGGGTTTAGAGCTTAGATCACATGTAAATTCTTCTAGTATGTTAAATTGAATGTACTTCATCTGTGCTGGTTTACTTTTACAATGAGACCAAATGGAGTACGCATTGAATAATTCTATTTTGAATGATTGCAGCGAGACCGTGTATGAGTATTTAAAACTTTTGATCATGGCAAATCTACAAACTAGGCTGTAATGCACAGGCCTACCGTATTTTTCTCAGTGTTATTTGCGATTGTTATGTCAGTGTTTCTAAATAAGCTAGATTTTGTACGTTCTGTTGCTGTAGATGAAGCACCCCAATGCATTATTTAACACATCTTAGTGAAGTGCTGTTTTTAATATATTTGCTGTTTTATTTCTCCTTGTTTATCTAGTGGCACCACAACACCATACATTGTAGGATAAATAAAAGTCATGTTAAAATCACATTTTGCAGACGACGTATCATTGATGTTGGCGGCTTCAGATTTGATCCAGATAGTTTCCTGGTACCAGTCCACACTGTCCATCTCTATCCACTGTCCACCAGCCATCCTCTCCTCGTTCCAACACTTGGACTACATCTCCTCTGCTGATGGTTAACTCATCGGCTTCCTATTATTGAGCAGACAGTCACTTATATAACAAAGAATTAAAATCAGATTCATTCTTTTTACCTGTGCAATATAGGTATACAGCACTGTCCACTTGTCTGTATCTGGAGAGGAAATTGCTAATGTTGTGTTTTGTTCAAATTCAGGTAATGGAGCATAGCCTCCGTTTTCTGTGTCGACTAAATAAGAGAACAGACAAACAATAAGCTCTGTTCAGGAAATATAAGTTGCATTTAAAGGATGTTAAGTAAAGAATATAGTCTGATTTTTTTTCAGTTATAGACTATTGTGAGCTCATAGACGCAGTACCTACTTTCACCGCTGGATGTCAGTGTTGACCTAGAGTTTCGAGCGCTTTCCGTCGTGGCTGCGCTGGCAAGCAACGGCTTACTGCTCCTAAAGAAACTTCCCATCAAACAAACAAATGAACAACCAATGCAATGAAACCACTCACCTCCTAAGCCACCTTACCATCTTGATGTTGCAGGTGTATCAGGCTTTTCTCCTCCGTCTAAATGTGCATTTGAGATTCCGTTTCTATCTCTACCAATGCCTGCAGGGTTTGAGTCAAAAACCACTGGTCCTGTAAGAAATATAGCCACAGAGAACGGGCACGATAAGTGGTGTTGATATTGTTTTACATAAAGTAAACCAACAGAAAGCAGTAAAACTCACCAGGGGGCGCCCAACCTGTACTTTTCAGCTCAATAAAGGTGTTTAAATCTTTAGTGACGTCACACTCTTCAAGACGCTTTCTAACCATCTCATACAACTGTGAAGGAATATTACAATTTATATATATATATATATATATTTTTTTTTTCTCTCTAAAAGATTCACTTACATCATCGTCTTTGACACACTGTGCAGAAAAGTGATTGCAGTGGTCCCACAGAGCACACCTGAGAGTGCTGATGTGGTCTCCATCCAACTGCTGGAATACCTGAAATATTCAACAAAGACATGTAAACCATACCTGTGTTTAGTATTGTAGACACACTTCCTCTTGTTGTAGAGGGCAGGCAAATATAGCAGTCATATGAAAGGGCATGTGGGCTGTGGTTTGGTGAAAATGAAGTGTGTCTCAGGTGATAAGTATGTAGATTTTACTACCTCACAAGCGCTTCTGTGCGTTTCTTCCCAGTCCTGTCGAACTGACTCCAAGTGCACAATGTTTTTGAAATAAACTTTCTCTTAAAAGAGAGCAAATATATTAAGTTAGAACACAATCTCATTCAAATAATGTGAAGTAGGTCTAGTGTACATCGTACCAGAATCAAGAGCTGCTTGTCTCAAGTGTATTACTTTGTGACGAACCTGTCAGTAACACATTTCATGACAATCCCAAAATGATTTGATTTTCAGTTTTTAGTTGTTAAAATAAATGAGTATTGTGGTTGAATGTAATAAGTAAATTTAAAATACCTTCTCTGTATTTTTGCCAGCATTTGTCATTTGTTCAGCATTTCTTTCCGCTTCATCAGCTTCTTTGCACCTGAGCTCATAGAGCCTTTTGGACTTAGGGAGGAAATGAGAAAGTAATATAGCTTGTGTATTCACATCCAGTTGTACAGTGCTTTGAAAATGTATTCTTACCCCATGCACCTTTCCACATTACAACCACAAACCATGATGATATGTTTATTGGCATTTAATGTGAATGACCAAGACCAAGCTTGAGAAAAGTTCAGACAACTTCATCCCTGACCTCTCTGGTGGGTTACTGGGACTACATGGTGCTATTTAGTGACCAATATTCTCTTAACAAACCTCTGAGGCATCACAGAACAGCTACAGTTGTTTTACTTTCATTTAACAATTGTCGCATCACGTTGGTCTTTCCCCACTTGTTTGTGGTTGTAACAAGAGAAACAGTTAATAGGGTATGAGTACTTTTTCAAGCCACAAAAACGTGTCTGTGTTACCTCCATTGTCTTTCTGAATGAAGCATTTGTTTTCTTATGAACTTTCTCCATGATGCTTTGAAACTGCGATCAAGAACATAAAAAGGCTCTAATTTTTCATTGGGTCAGTGTCAACGTCTTTTTCATAGCGATTTTTTGGACACTCATAGATGTTTTATTGGCATTATTCTTTCACTCCATACAGAGTGATGATAAACTATCACTGTAGCCACGTCTGTCAGAAGTGAGACAACCAGTATGTACTGTACCAACAGTCCATCCGACCAATCTGCCACGCACACATGGCTTTTTACAGACACTGCTGCTCCACCTCTGAGAGACCTCTGGGAACACCTGGTGTTCCCAGAGGTCTCCCATCAATGTACTAACCAGGCTCTGCCTAGCTTAAGTTCAGCTTAGGTGGCATCAAACTTTTGTGGGTAAAAACCAGTACCTTTTTCCTCTGCTCTTTCTGCCGCTCTCTGAATGTCTCAATCTTTTTCACCTCCTCTTTCAAAATTTCAGCAAGTTGAAGATGAAAGTTACCAATGTTGTCAATTTCTGCAACACAAACAAGACACTTATAAAAAAAGGTTTAACCAAGAAATCAGCTTTGCAAGAGTAACAAAATTACATACGTGTTTTAAGTTGTTCCATAGATGCTCTGAGAGTTCTAAAAACACATTATTTGGACAAAGACAAAAAGACAATGTTATAGATCAGTATTTTCTCAAAAATATAACCATTCTCTTGAGAACAGGAAATTAGTACATTGAGAGGAATTGCATAGACCACTGAGGGCTGTATGTTCTCCTTTTCTGGCTCATTCCATTCTGAGTCATTCAAAATACTATTTTTGTAGAATAGTGCCATTACCATACCCAATCTCTGTATATCCTTCAGCCTTTCTTGAAATGTTCACCAACTCTTTCCCATACTTTTCCTCTGCCAATGCTCTGAGGATAAAAGTTGATATAGACAAAAACATACAAGTTTATTTGGATACATTGGGTAATTGTTATTTATTTTTATATCTGTTTGATTTTGCAGCTAATCTACTTGTGAAAAATCATTTGACAACTAGATGGCCATTCTAAAAATACACACTGTGATACCTCATTCTAAAAAGTTCCTCTACATCTTTGCACATTTGCTTTCCGTCTTTTAACCGTTGGATAATAACTTCATAGCCAGTGTGGTCAGTCAAATCGCTCCCCTGTAACAGAAAATGTGGCATACATTCTGAACAATACTCTATACTGAATTACATCTTAGCTTTAAAAGGATTTTTAAGTCACACCAAGAATGTAAAATGCAGAAGTGTTAGGCAAAATGGTCATACGGAAGATTCATGTTTTAGATCTGCACAGTACCTGTCTCTAAATAAAAGAACAATATGTCAAAGCATAATCCTCATATGTAGGCCACTATATACTTGCCCAAAATGCATCTTTGAACTTCAGAGGTGCCATCTTATCGCCTGCTCAATGTCATACAAGGGATTCTCAACCTAGCACACAACTAAGTGTGCACGTCCAAACTCAAAGTAGTAGTTAAAAGGAGGAAGAGGTTTGTCTCATGATGTCACTGACCACATAGCGCAGCCTTCAGAGGTTTCACTATCATACCCTGGTGACTTTTGAAACATGTCTTTTTTTCAATAATTATTTTCCTTTGCACTGTATGGGCTTGAAACCAACAACAAATCACTTTGGACAAAAATACAATACATTATATATTTCACTGGTTTCAGAGAGAATACACAACTTTTTTTTTCTTTTATACTTTTGTAACATTTCTATGTAGCATGGCAACCATGAAAAATATTGTTAATTCTTACTGGTAGAAGCACCTGTTATTATGGTTATTTAGTAAAAACATGTAGATACCCTCATTAAAAATTGTGATGTCATTCTCTTACTTGACTAAAAATAAAAAAAGAACAAAAAGTAATATGTAATTGCTTACATTTATGATATAAATGAACAAGTTTTCCCACAAATGACAAAATGCATTCTACTCCTTGTATAAGTATATTTTCAACACGCTTTGTTTTGGTGAAATGTTTATTGATTCACTTTATTTTTAATCACAAATGTATAATCTTATTTACATTATGGCAAACCACTTCAGACATGTATTAAAAACACAGAAGCATCACCACTTCAAATTATTTGTTGGACAGACTTTATGGTGTGGGATGTTGTCAGAGCCTGTGTATATATTTGTTCATGTAAGAAATGGACACTATTTGTTTTTACAATATACGAGTACAAAGTTGTCAGAGGAGGAAATATTTGTGTTGCTATGGCTACAATGACCAGAATCATAATCAGAATTATGATGTGAGTAACATGAAGTCACAAATTTGGAAATTGCTTTGGCTCTTGGTGCAAACAAGTTATACAAGTAAATATAGAAAGATGACAAAAATGATAATAAAAATAAATAACAAATCTACATAGCATTTCTTAAAATACTATTAGTGCATTGAGTACTCTTAATATTCAACCGGCCTTGTGCAGACTGCAAGTAAATTAGTTCAGATATTTTTGAGCTTAAGTGACCATGCTTTCTCCAGTACCTCTGCGTAGTAGCCCTATATTTACTCTTTAGCCAATATGGAATTATATGTTACCGTTTATATAGAGTGTCTAACATGACATTGCCACAAGGGGGAGACATCGTGGCGGTCAGCACGTGGTCTCTCTGCCCAAACTCCCTCCATCTCCAGGTCTTAACCATAGAAGTTGTAAAATATGTTCGATCGCTTATTTTTACTATCTCAAAGACTACAGAACCGGCACTGAGGCTATAAACAGAACCGGCACTGGGGTAAGCAACAGGCGTAAGCACATGTTCAAACCATAGACTGTATATATTAAACTGACCGATTTTTTTTTTTTTTTTTCATGTAAACAAAGACAGTTTCTCTAGTTTATTTATTTATTAATTTATTTGAAGGGACAATGTACAGATACATTAAGCTCAAAGATAGATATGTTCTGCACCAAATCAGGTGTGCTTCTGACAAAAAGGTCCATATCTGCCTTCCTTGTGGAGCAGCATGTCAAATATAGACCTCTGTTAAACGTGTATTGTCATCAAGACCTCATGCTGGAGCCTACTGCTTTGTTTATTTATTTATTTAAATCCTAGCACGGAGTTTTTGAGTGAGACAAAAACAGTGCCTCACGGTTGACACTTGCATGCTTTTGTTGCTAGAGAATCCTGCCCCACTTCCCTGTGCTGGTGGATTTACACAGGTGAGAGCTTCTGGACATGTGGCCCAGAGGGGGGGGGGGGGAGAGGGTCCAGGGGTGAGAGGGTCTGGGCACTGCAGGACTCGGCCTAGAACGGGCCTCTCCGTCTGCAAAAAGACTTCCTTAAAGTGGGCTTGGGGATATGCCAGTTTATACAGTGGTTCCATAAATGTGATCCATTTTTCACTTCTCAGAAAGCTTACACTACTATTAGGTACTAACAATACTGTAATAATGTAAAAATGTGCCAGCTGACAGTTCAAATGGCCACTCTGCGATTTATTCTGTCCTTATCCTGATTTGTTTGAATGAAAGAAAAACACTTTATCTTCTTCTGGTTTAATTGCTCTCTAATTCGCAGATAAAACACCTGCATTTTAGAAAGAATATGCCCTGACATTTCCCCCAGTTAAATGCATGGCTGCCCAACCAGGAGGAAAATCATGTTATTTTTTTGTTATGTCTTACCACAGTCCTGCACACACACCCTGGCTCTGTCTCACCCCTGGAGTGGCACTTATCGAACTGTGACAAACGAGTCGTGTCAGAGCGGCCCCCCACCTTTGGGGATTGGCTAAATGACCTTTCCATTACGCGACCACTGCTGTATTCCCCATCCACAGATAGAGTTACACAGGCTGCCGCGCAGCCCATTTGCTCAGACCAGTGTCACTACCGCCACCAGAAGCCACTTCATCTTTCTCTGCCTTACGATACTTTTATCACTTCATCTTATGCATACTGTATGTGGGTGGGCGCAAGACCTTTTTGAAAGAATACTAAAGCAACAATAGCAGCAGTATATTTGTTTTTATCTATCCGCATCTGTGCTCTCAAAGATTTTATTTTTGCTTTTACTCTGACTTTTGACTCAATACTTTTACTTTGACTTCACAGTCTTTATACTAATACTACTACTACTACTAATAATGATGATAATAATACATCTTTTTTTGTATAGCACTTTTCAAAAACAATGTTTACAAAGCGCTGCACAGTCAGCAAAATAAACAATAAAAACAGTCATGCAAAGTCAAAATAATTAGATAGAATAGTAGATACAGGAAGACAAAGCAGACAGAGCAAACACAAGAAGAAAGACAAAACAAAGACAAAGCAGACACTAAAATACAACGTGAGGAGTTTAAAACTGAGAGTTCAAAGCTGTTCGATAAAACTGTGTTTTAAAAAGGGATTTAAAAGAGGATACTGATGGTGCTTTGTTATTATTAGGATGTTTACATAAACTGAGTAAAGTTCCATTAAATCTATGGTCCAAAATAGATATTTAAATGACCACTATTCAAAAATATTATACATGTACAAATAAATGATTTCAAAACAAAATATTACAAATGTGATAAGACATGATCCAAAAAATACAAATACATAAATACATCCATTGGTCCAAAAGAAGTGAACTCTGGTTTATTTAGGGAGGTGCGAAAGCACCAAACTAGTGCAAACTATAATCCACTAGTCAAGTCAGTTCACAGTTCATCAAGTCATTTTAGGTTCTGGAACGAGAGTAATCTGCTGGATGACATTGTAATAGATTACATCTCCAGTGCAAAAACTATTTCATACTTATACTGAGACATTTGAGTTACTTGTTTTTTGTAATTACTGCTCTGTTTGAGCCAAACTCACATCTCACAGCACTTACATGTGTAGAAGTCTGTAATTACTGTAGAGTAGTTGATGATCAATCAACGACTAAAATAGTTGTCGGTAAAGAAAAGGCTCGATAGTTGCGATGAATCAATTAATTGTTACAGCTCTACTTCATTTGAAAAATACAGTATGTGTGATTTCATCAGGACTGTTGCATTAGCCTCTGAAGGGAGTCCAGTTGTGAACAAGAGAGAGAAGGAAAATACAGATCGAGAGGCTCTGGACTTTATGTGATTATGTGAAGCAAGCATCTCCTCTGATAAATTCAGAGTGAGAGACATGTTCAAATTCAGGTTAAAACAGTTCTGTTCAGTTGTTTGCTTATGACTGATTTGATATGATTTCTTAGCTTGCTTATAAAGCTGGCTTATATTGTATTTTATTTTTCTTAGACCTTTTTTTACTTTTTAATGAGTAATAACATTGTTTTGTAAAGGGCTTTGAGTTGTATATTTTCTTATGAATTGTGCTATACAAATATACTTTCTTGGATGTCTATATGTCATTAATTTTCTCAATATCCGTTTATAATGGTTATTTCATGTGGCTCGAAAAGGTCTGAACATGTTTACAAAAGACGACTTAATCATTTCTCACACTTTCTCCTTTGCCCTGTAGTGCTAATCCTTGGGTGACCACAGGCCCAGAGTCTGCACATTCTTCTGGGACATCTCTGGCTTCACAACAGCAGCTGACTGGGTCAGCGGAGGAGGAAGACTGCAAATGCAGAAAGAAGGTGAAGGCACATGCTTAGAGAGCTCTCGCTTCTCAAGCCTTTTTTAGTGGAGTTTGCATGTTCTCTCTGTGTCTGCATTGGTTTCCTGTGGGTGCTACAGTGTTCCCTACAACTAAAAACATATACAATAGTCTTTAAATGAAGTATTATAATTTACTGAGTAAAGATATTTATAGCATGTCCACACCAAGCTGTCAGGTGACCCTATCGGAAAAGTTTGTGAAGAAATGAAGAAAAATATGTTGACATTTACAGGAAGAAGAGCAGTGTTACACCCTCCCCCAGTTTTGACCCAATATACATCAATATTGTGTGGTCTCCCTCTAGTGATGTCATTATCTACAAGCAGGAAGTAAAATTAGGAATAATAAAAAGCCAATATTAATATCCAGAAACGCCAAACTGTGATGAAATTGCAAAAAAAGTTTGCAAATTCAGTTCCAGAGTGGAACAGAACAGACACGCTGCACGGGGGTG